CACTCCCAATGTTACAGTGTGTTACGTGTATGTGTGCTGATGTGGATGTGAAGTAGCAAACAAATGACTCGAGAAGAATTCCATCACAGGGTACTGTTCTCTGCACAAAAAGGACAGTGTTATTACAGAGAGGTTCGTAAAGAACATGTGTTTGTGTTATGTTGCTGTTTTGTTCCGGCTAAGAAGAGCCACCACTCTCCTCCCATCAATTATTGCAGTGCTTTACTAAAACACATGCTGCTGCTGCTTAAGCCACAACACACTGAATACCAACTGGAGCACATCAAGGGACGATATAACTCGTCCGCAGTGGGAGCCAACTTGGTTGAACAAATACTGCCTCAATTGCTTTGAATTGGATTGGACTGGACTGGAAGGAAACAGCTGGAGGGTAGTTGTTTACTTGTCCCCTGCCCCAAAAACACATGGAGGTATGCAGACACACACACACACACACACACAAGCCCACAAACGTGCCGTGTAAACACAGATTCTAAACGAGATTACATTTCATTGTCGCCATTCAAGTCAAATGATGGGCATAAATTCACCCTCCTCTGCAAATCTTGTCCCACAGTGCACACTCTCAAGGTCCCTAGACACGTTGTCAAAATCTTAAACCCTCTCGAATATCATTTTAGATGATAACAGACAAACTACCCACGCAGAGAAAACTCTCAGACACAAGCTGTGTGTGCGTGTTGAATCCATGAGGAATCATGCTTTATCATCAGAAAGTGGTATTAGCTTGATAGACTGAGCTGGGTTGTTTTTGCAAGAAGTTATCTGTAACTTTGCGGAGGAACGCTCTTGTTACATGAGTCCAAACATTCCATACTCAAGGTCCTGGGTTTTACTGACATCTTTCCTCACAGACACCGCAACAGCATGTGCAGATGATCAACCATCTGCACCTTTATTTAGAGCATGTGTATACCTACCTCTTGAACTGTACATTTCCTGGGCGTAAAATTGAAACGACGAAGCAGAGCGGGCCGATAAGTCTCTGTGGATTTGACACTATGAGTCACTCATTTAACATAACACATGTAAATCAGTTTGATCCCATCTGACAACATTCCCTCACCTAAAAGTAGTTAAATTCCCCTAGCTCCTTCTGAGGGGGGCAGCTCAAACGGTCAAGAAGGGAGCTGAGGTTTTACAGACGATGAATTACAGCAACTAAGGAATCCCAGGTGTGTTAAGACTTTCTCATGAGAATTAACTTACAATCAGCGGATGTCGAGAGATAGCAAGACTGCTGAGAGGAAAGACATTGAAAAATGACAAGTTGGAGTGAGGGGGTGGACACAGGATGGAGCTGCGTATATCACAATAGGAATGAGCTAACAGTTGGAGCCTGAGGTTCTCATCTGTTGGTTCTTATTCAATGCACTAAAGTCCCAGAGGACTTGCATTCAAGCAAGAAACCCCGAGACATCAAAGTAATGGTTCTGTGCAACAGCAACAATTAACAAACTCCAGTACTTTGAGTTTTCTGGCTCAGTAGGCTACTTGGCTGATTCTTGAGGCACTGTAAGATACATATTGATAGCAAAAAAAAGTACAAGTCAACAAGAAATTTGCTAAAACTATTTGTGCTGTCAGAGAGATCAGTGTAAATACATGACATTAAAAGCAGAAGCATGTCTTTCGCACCGGAGGGAGCAAATGGAAATAAAAAGGGAATTAAAATAAACAAGAGAATTTAACGGCTTTGACACGGAGGAAATCTGACTGGAAGCTGTTTGTTTAGCGTCATAAGATCAAAAAACAATTTTAGATATACCACAAATAAACTCCTCTTCATCACTGGAGGAATGTGGCTTGATGCCATTCCTTTTGTTGTGCAGAATAGCAAGGGGAGACATTTCTGCATTCAAAATCCTACATTGCCAACACAGTCACTTTTATTCACGCTCTGTGCTTTGTTTGATGGAGATATTTTATTCATGTCCAGGGGATAATTGGGGATTATCGGCTCTAAGCTGACATTTTGATGGCTTTTAAAAGAACACTGATTTGCTCTGAGACAATAGTGCGTGTTTCTAAGTATAGTTTTATTGTGAGCGTATCTGTAAAAGAGGGAGCCATTGTGAAAACTAAAACGAAGTTGACCACCCGATTAAATCCATCTCTTTCTGTTGTGTAAACTATTTAATTAGGCATTGTCTTAAAGTCAAAAAAGAGATATTGCTGCATTTCCTTTGGTTTTCTTCTAGTTTGTCTTTTGTGAAAGAAAGGTCTGGAGGTGTCATACTACATGTATGTACTTATTTTATAGGGGGCAGATGAGCTCATATGATTGTCCCTAATTGATAACGTACTCCAACAAACCCATTCATGTATGATAATGTATTCCCTCTAATCTCACCCTGCTTTTATGTGCAGTGCACACTGCGTCCACAGCGACCATTCATGCACACTGTACACTACATGTCTACACTCCATTATGTCACTGTTCATTTCACTACAGTTTCTGGTGTTGCTTCTCACTGTCATTTTGTTCTGTTTTTTCTACGAGGTGGGAGAGTGATGAATAAATTTCTGTTTTTTTTCTATCCCACCTTACACCCCCACACTATTCACCATCTTAACCCATTAATTCAGTGGCCCATTGTGTACAGTCCTGACAAGTTATGAAACATCATTTTTATCCATCACAATGGCTCTCTCAATTTGTCTCTCCCTCACTCACTCACTCTCGCTCCCACTCCTGACGGTCTCCAAAAAATGTCCCATTTTCAGAAAGTTTGATGTCGATCAGAGCTTTGGGTTTCTCAGCCACTGCTGTGCTTGCCGTTTGTACCCATCCATTTATCCTTCAAATGAAACACTGAAGGTGAACACAATCATTGCAAATGTGTGTTTTTCTGGATGGTTAAATAAGGGCATTATATAAAAGACACTCCAAATTGTGTGTGTCTGCACTCCACCATATGCTCTGTTGTTGGCATATGTTGGTTTTACTGGCTCTGCATCACATCGGTTATAGATACAAGCTAAACGTGCAGGCCTACTGACAGGGCATGGGTATTTATGCTTTACAGATCAGGATTTTCCACCAGTAGTCTCACTGACTGGTTTGTAGTCAGACAATCTGTCCAACATGCCCAGATTTTATTAATTCATTGCCTCTAAAAATCACACTCGTTCAAAGATATAACACTGTGAAACAGCAGTGTGGATACCTGAGCAGTGCAGAATGTGTGTGTGTGTGTGTGGTCACACACCCCCTTGAGGTCAGCGGACACAAAAACGTACACATCACACACACACATGGATACAAATATCTATACACAGAATTGACAACTAAGTGTTCTGGTGCAATATGCTGCAACAAGTGCAATTTGGTGCAGGTCACAGAGCAGCAGCCCTCGAGCCCTCAGTGTGGAACTATTAGTGTGTGCAGGAAGTGCCGGGTGCATCAGCAGGTCACCGCACTCTATCCTTTTCACCATGCCAGAGAAAGCAGAAAGCACAGCTTGTACCTAGAGTAGTAATTCACTTTGTTCATTATTATTTAATTGTGAATGAGAATAGTTCCCATTTAACTTTTCTGGCTGGAACACTAGGAAGCCATTACGAGCTAAGATATTGTTTATCGTCCAAAATACATTTTGTTCCCAACATTATTTGCGGGCCACTGAATGAAGTAGTCACAGCAATGTTACATTCTGTCAGAAAGATTTCCTCGACTCCCCGGGGAAGTGATGCTGCCCTTTTTAAATGGAGCAACAAGGTCCCGCTAGACTTTGACTACTATCCAAAGGAAGATTTCTATCAGTATTCTTTCAGTGTTTTTTCACCCTTCTAAGCCCTAATTCAAGTTATAAAGGTCATACACAGCATATGGCTGTCACGTTATTAGTCATCTAAATGCATTGTGGGGTCTACAGGGAATGTTCATAATATATGAAGGGGAGAGCTCATAATATGATAAAAGATAAAGATAAATGGAATAAAAGATGGACAAGCTGTTTGGATAACAGCATTTTGTGATACTAACAACAATTCATCTTGTTTGTTTCTGATTGATTAATGAAATACTGCTACCCTAACTTTTGAAAACATGGCCACCCATTTATCAACAGGTTTATCTTGTATCCCTGAAGAACATTTCCACAAAAATACATTCATCAAATTAGCACAGAAAATGACGATAATTTGGTAAAGTTATATGAAGCCATCTCGCGTGACGCTACAGACTGATGCCATTCTTTAAGAATTAATTTATGCATTAGAAGTTCAGTGTTCAATGTCTCACAGGAAGAATGTTGCTCATCTCTGAAAAACATTGTGAGGAGCTTTGTATAAGTTCTCCTCTGAGACATTAACCACAAACAAGCACAGGGGGCAAAGCAAGGCTGCCATCTGAAGGACAGCTGATATCAAGCAATCAATTTATCACATTTAGCAATTTTCTAATATATCATTTTTATTATTATTTTATGGAAGTTAGTGGCTCACCTTGGAAAGAAGATAAACCAGATGAGGGGAGGCGGAGATGATTTCCAGATTGCATTGTCTCTTGAGTATGTATTGACCAACAGATGGAGCTATAAGAAACAGACATGCACATCATAGATACAAAACGGCAGGTGTGTGTACGGTTCGTCTCTTTGTGTTGTGCCTGCAAGAATCTATTTGTATTCATTTTCTCATGAAGACATTGTACTAAATTAAACTTTGAGTTAATTACAAAAAATACAGTTCAAATAATAAAATTAATTAAAATTTAATTTAATTTAATTCATTTAATTTTCAACCTGCACATGTTTAGAATGAATTCATAAAAAACAAGTTTATTCAATAAAGCATTCATCTTTCAGTCTAGCTTGTGTTTGTGTGTTCCCTTGGTATCTTTCTTCATGGATGTTTTCAGATCCTCAGAGATGTAATAAAAAATCCAATGAGTCAATTGTCTGCATCCTGTTAGTTAGTCTTAGATAAAAGATAACATAATAATAATCACTGTGCAGATTTACTTCTATTGCAAGTATCTGCTTTGCACACAAAGTTGTCACCGCAAAGCTACAGCGCTACACATATGACTCTCTGTGTAGCTTCCTGTGAAGATAGGTCTTCCTGCTCTCTGTCTCTCAGTCTCTACCCCACGCTTTAACCTCAGTCGACAGTCTACGCTCTCTGTCTTGGCTGAATCCCTCTATGGAGTCAGCCCAATTGGTCGTAATGAGTTTGAGGAGCTCAGACATGGCTAGAGGTGCCCTGGGAACAGCCTTCTCTCTCCTGCTCCTTGCCTCAAGTATACAAGGTAATCCTGCACCACGTGCGCTTTTGCCATGTAATATACCAGCAACGATGGGATATTCAACATGGGTTTGAAATGTGTATTGGCTTCTAGTGTGACAAGCTGCCTCTGTATAATGCTATGATTGTATCTGCCTGCATCCCAGCGGACTGCAGTCTCTAATACCAACTTCAAAGTGTAAGTGATCTTGTCTCCTCACTTTTCTTGCTTCCAATGCTATCTGATGTGCTCGACAGGGCTCCCGGATGTTGAGGTGTTCCATTATGAAAGGATGGATGCAGTAGTGGGCCAGAACGTTACCTTGCCCTGCATTGTAAAAAACAGTCCGACTCTCACGATTGTCAGCATTGAATGGAGGAAGAACAACAAACATAAAAACTCAAAGGTGGCTCTGTACAGCCCAGATCGAGGATTCAATCTATTTTGGCCTAACGTCACCATGCAGATTGAGAAGGCGTCGATGGGCTCCCATCTTCAACTTTACGGGGTGACAACACAGGACAGCGGTATCTATATTTGTGACATTTCAAGTTTTCCTCAGGGCTCCATTTCGAGTGAAACAGTGCTCGAGATCAAAGGTAAGATGAAGGCAAGTGCATGCAAAGCCATACACTACCACAACCAGACGCTGCAGGATAGAGACGTGCAGTAACTTTCTATCTTAATGTCCAATGCATATATTTCATGTTACTCCTGATTGCATCAGAGTGCCGTTCCTCTGCCAATCTCAAAACATATTTTCTTCTGAGCAAATCTATGTAATAATTACAAGAACACATCTAAAGGCTTTGCTATCCATGTATTTTCATTCCTCTGTTTGGCCTACTTTTTGTTTTGCCTCATCACTCATTTAGTTGTCCAATGACGCAGGCACAACACACCCTAACCTTCTATTGAACCGTAACGGAACTAAAGGGGTGTTAGACAAATTACAGGCAGAAGAGGTTGTGTATGTGTATTGCATCTGACAGAATTGTTTTTGCTAATAGTCATTTTCTGTATTCATTTTACAGCAAATGTTTTAAATAAGCATTATTGTGTTGTCGATCCAAATTAATCTTACATTTTCTCTCTATTAGATGACGTTATTATAATGTGTGATGTGGATAGAGCAGTCGAGGTCCATTCTGCAGAAAATGTGACCATTAAATGCAAACTCTTCCCTGATGCAAAGTACAAATGGACCAAGGTATCGGAAAAAATCTGTTGATCAGCCCATTTCTGACCTTACATGAATTTCATTTCGTTCATCGAACGTCAAGATGATTTGATTAACTCTGACATCAAAATCTACAATACACAAAAAAAAAACTCTGTATGAAAAAGGTATTTATATACATAATCTTGTTCTGCCCTAGAACAAGACGCTGGTGTCAGAGAATGAATCTCTGGAGCTGTGGTGTGTGGCTGATGCTCATGCAGGGGTTTATACACTGAGTGTCAACACAGGAAACAAAAGTCTGCATAAAGAGTTCATCATCACGGTGCTAACAGCAACCACAAGCTTAAGGACAGGTGAGCCTCTACACTTCTTTCCTTCTTTGTATCAAACTCAATTTCAGCATTTCCTCATGGCTGGATTAACAATCTAGTAGGGTGCCCAAGAGACTGAATGACTTAATAAACTCCACTGGACCAAAAAGCTGATACTTGACTTTTGTTATTATACAGGAGCTCACTCAATTACATTTTTTGATTAGCTGAAAAGGAAAGAGAGAGATTCAAAAGGATTTTGAAGCCCTGTTATGAGGATGCACCAGTAACTGAATAAATTTGGAGCTACAAAAACTTTAAGAGTGAAACTGCAAATCAATTGAGTGGTGGGATTCAGGTGTATACCTAACCAAGCTTCACTAAAACAGTCTACAGTTTTAAATTGTAAAACAACCAAACTGCATGCTGTCTGTCCCCACTGGTGATATAGTTTGGTATTGTGCCCTCAGTTGCCTGTGCTTACGCAGGAAAAAAAATCCTCAGCTGTCTTTTTCTCTTCCTGTGTTCGTGCTTCTCATGAGAATTTGAAACTGTAACTGAAGAAAAAACACAAGCCGCATAGACGTCGGAAGTCACTTCCTGCTCTTTCTTACTATCCACTTTCAAACCACAAGAACAAACACAGCAGAGTCTCAACATTGTCTCTGAATTACGACATGGGGTGAGAGCACAATCTGTTGGACATATGGGAGTAGTACAGTCCAAATGAAGGCTTGAAAAAAATACTGAATTGAGATGCTTGAAACACGTATTAGATCACAATGCATCGCAGCATTGGGTTGCATTTAATATGCTTTTCTTAGTTACGTCTCATTGGGTATGCGAGCTGAAATTCACAATGGATCTTTCCTGGTGTAAATTTGGGGGTATGCATGGTAGAACACAAAAAGTTGAAAACAACTGATGCACAACAGATTATCTAACGTACTCATTGATTAAGAATATGTTAACACCACACTATTGAATTTGCAATTCATGCCCACACCTGTGCCCATGGTTTCACGGTCCAGGTTCTTGAGTAAGCCCCATTGATTATGCACAGAGTGGCCTCATAAATGCCAACTCTGTCCATGTTTACAACTGTGCACTGGGTATTTTAAAGTTTTTGTCGTGCATCACTTACAGTTCCTACTCCACACTCACCTTTCCAATGTGAAGCTTGTTAAAGGAATTGTTCAACATTTCGGGAAACGTGTACAAAAACCAAGATGTAACATCGCCACTTGCCATTTTACTGGAGGTTAAATGCTGGACTATTTTTTTAGCCGGTTGCAGTTGCGAGGCAACCAGCAGAGACTCCAGGAAGTTACTGCACCTGCTGAAAAAAATACTTCCAGCGCAGGATTTGACTCCTTTTACTCCTGTAAAACTGCAACCCATCGGTTTCACATCTCTGTTTGTTCGGATTAAACAAACTAGGCTTAACCTGTAGAGGTGCTCGTAGGCAGATTGTCAATAAACAGTTTTCAGGCTTTATGCTTAAGCTAAGCAGCTACATTTTAAACCTAGAGATACGAGTGGCATCGAACTCTTGGCAAGAAAGCTGTTAAGCGTATTTCCCAAATATTCCAATTACTTGACTGCCGCTAACATGTACAGTTTCCTGGCTACAGTTTGTGAATCCATGTGCAGTTTACCATGTAAAGTATTTTTTTTTGTGACATGTAAGCACTGTGGAGCTTCAAGAAAGTAGGTATTTGATGCAGTGCCAACATCAAAACATTGCAGTCTATGGTTGCTTACAGCATATTTAATCCATGTTTTGCTACTTTCAGATCTTGCGACAGTGCCACCACAGTCTAATGTAACTGAGGAGGGTTTGATCGAATCAGCAGACAGCAGCCTTACCACATCACCGACCACTGGGCTTTCAACAACTGACGCCAATGTAGCTTCGACCATGAATATGAGCACTGATGTAAAAGATGATAATCCAAACTCCAGAAATACCACAGCTGAAGAGCATATGACCCCTTTAACAAATTCTACACATGTCAGTGTCACGTTATCCCCTATCACACACACTGAACCCAATCACTTTAACAGCTCCAATGATCAGGAGATAAACCCAACATCAGTGGCCAGCAATCTATCCACAACATCCAGTTATGGTAATGAGGTTTTCAGATCAACATACGGGACGAAGAATGAGTCTATGGAAGGCAATCCTGATGCAGCCTCGACTCTGAGCACTGGAAATACAACGATAGTCATTGAGGGTGAAGGTGACACATTTGATCCAGGTTGGCAAATTTGTTATATTTCCCTCCCATGAATAAAACATTCCAAGGATAGAATCTGTGACTATTATCAACCATACTACGACCTGATAAAAGGCTTTTTAGTGATGCTCTCAGATTGTTTTGGGCACATTTATTTGCTCTGGATTCTGCGAGCAGCAGAAGTGCCGGAAAGAATACAATGAAAACCGTTTCAAAGCAGCAAATAACTACAGACAGCAGCGCTAAATGCTCGAAGGCAAGACCCTCTTAAGAAAAATAAAGATGAATTTCAGCCGCAGTTTCTTTGATTTCACCATCTGTATCTTCATCACATATGAAGGCTTTGTAGATTCCAGTTCTATCAGCCTCAGGCTAGATGCATTTTTTTTTTTAAAAAAGGTAGAAATCTTGTTAAAAAGAGTGCAACCTGCTGAGGGGGAGGATGGCGTGACACTTTTCTGCCTCTCGGCAAAAAGCTTTTGTAACTTTACGTTTAATATCAATATTTATTGGAGTCTGCAGGGTTTCACCTGAGCAAGCTGATCGATATCTTAGAAACATATCTTTTGCTGTTGCTGTCCCCTAAAATGACACTATTTCCCCTCACTGAATTTGCTTCTCAGGTGCTGGTGGTGCACAGAGTCATCTGTTGTGGTTATTCATCGTTCCAATCCTGGTATTGATAGCTGCGGCTGGCTTTCTCTGCTTCAGACGAAAAATGAGGGAGAGGTAAAACTCTTCACTATCCATGCAGCTATCCTCTACACCTGCTTGTATTTATTCAGGGTCATGCACTGGGTGAACCTCATATCTCTCATTTATACCGATAGAAACACATGATCTATTAAAAACTGCATGCTTTTTAGATACAACTAATCTTCTAGCAATGGCACGAGTCAATATTCCTGCTCTCTCTCTCTCTGCAGGATGAATCTACCGCCCTCGTTCAAACCCCCTCCACCTCCTTTCAAGTATACAGCTGCAAGACACCATGAGATTTCAACACAGCCTATCCCCACTTCAAGATGTAACTCCGTGACATAACTTAAAGATATGAAAGAAATGTTTATCAATGTATAATGTCTCATATATTTCCAATGACAGTAGATACATTGCAAGTTATTGGGGGGATATAGTGTGTGTGCTCTGTATCCTATTTTGGTTACATGCAGAATTACGAAGTGTATCATTTGCAGTTATGGTCAGTTAAAACTGCAGTTACAATACAGACAATTGTACAAATGTTGGCTTTGTGTGTAACTGGGTTGGGTTCTATGCTTTTTTGTATAAAGAGGTGTAAAATCATGTTTCTATCATTTGAAAATGAAAGCTGATTTAATTTGACTCTGGGCAGCTGTGGCTCAGAGGTATAACGGGTTGTCTTTAAGTCAGAAGATTGGCAGCATGGACACTTAACCCCACGTTGCTCCTCAAAGCTGTGCCTATACGGTTAAAGAATGGGTGTGAATGGTTATAGTTATTCCTGATAGGCAGGTGGCACCTTGCATGGTAGGCCCTGCCATCAGTGTGTGAATGGGTGAATGACATGTAGTGTTAAAGCGCTTTCAGTGGTCAGAAAACTAGAAATGTACTATACCGTAGTCTATTTACCATTTAAATTGACCTTGAGCAATTACATTGACGGTGCTTGTGTTACTTACATTCTTTTATGGTATTCTTGCAATATTATACATGTACTGCATCTTTCTAATAAAGTCCAAGCAACTATTATGCAGCAATGAATAAACATTGTATTTCCATCTAAACTCTGAACTATATGGCTGATTTACTTTCCAATTCTGTCTTTCATCTCTTATAGTTGCGAATTAGGTTTTCTTGCCCAGATGTCCAATGAGTTGCTCTTAATATTTGCCGCTGTTTAGTGCTAATGCAGCAAATTGACAGACACATTTATATCAAAGACCACTGTTGTCCACATGTACCACAGAGTGACACTGGAGACTACAAAGTGGGACCTAAACCACAAACCACATAGGCTAAATGCCATAACAGCCACTTGATGCCACCTCTTACACACACACACACACATACATACATACATACATACATACATACAGGAAGTGGGTAAATGTTAATATAGCTTTTCATATTTGAGTATTTACAGGTTTTAAAAAAAATGATTCTTGTGTGTTGATTATTTCTTTGAGACTAAAAACATAGTTTGTAGACCACACTAAGAGGACCGTGCTTAATTCGGTTTCAGCACCTTTTTTTTTGTCACACACACACACACACGCACACACATACACACACGATTGTGCATTCAGCTGTACTGAGAGACCTTACAAAACGGCTTTTTTTTTCATTCAGATTTTCCGACCACAGTAGCAAAACCACAATGTCCTCTGTGTACGGCAAATTACATTCTTGATATCTATAGCTCTGAAGCCCCATGCACACAGACAACCCATATAATACATAAAGCTCAATTGTACTGTATTCAAACCAAATTCACATGTGTGCCCGTCGGAGATTCTCGCTTTCAGGAAACTGATAAATAAGGTCACCACAAGCGTAACTATTTATTTTAGGGTTAAGTCAGAATTAGGTTTAGTAAGTTAGGGCTACAATTGGGGGTTGAATTTTTCTGAATTTCCAGAACAGTTAAAAATTCTTAGCTCACAAATGAATAGAATGAAAATTATATATGTTTTTAGGGTGCAAAGTCATTTTTGCTTGTTTGTTTATGTACATTTTATTATAACAATAAACAATATTGAACTTGCTAATGAGATATTAACCATTTTCATCTTTATATAGTCATCTATCTTAGATTGTATTGTACCTCACAATGGGATCGAGACTGGGTGCCTCAGAATGAGGTTACTTTGCTTCCTGTTTGTAACTGAAGAGCCACTAGTTTTCAAAGCACTGTGACAAGAGAGAGGTAACTAAGCCAAAGCAAAAATAGACTCCAGTGTAGCTCAGCTCACTGACTAAACACGTTGGCGCCCTGTAGTCTGAGAGCAATCGTGTCAGACAGACAACTAGTTTTGTTCAAGACGGCTGGAACATGTCAGGTAGGATCTTCTAAAATTAGACTTAGATCTAAAACTTGTATTGTTACATTGCAGTGGTCTTAATCTTGTATCCCTTAGTATATCGCTTTGATCACAAAAACAGCTAAATACTTTCTAAAGCGTATGTCACAGAATATGGCAGAACAAACTGTAAAACAGCAGTGAGATGATAATCATGATGCTCTTTTTACTGTAGTATAACATTCACATGCTACCTTGTTTTGTTGATGTCACAGTAGGACCTACGTAGCGTTATCATACCATGTGGCACACATTTGATGCTTTTTCATCAAATTATTTATTCAACTTAGAAATTGAGATACATTTACAAAAAAATGATGGTTACAGTTTAAAGAATGTATAATACAACTGTGGCTACAGTTGAAAGAATGATTTTCCTGTGAAATTTATCAGTATTGTTCAGCTGAAATTGGTACAGTGCGTATTTTTGTGACAGTGCGTAGAATGAACAACATTTTATAACGGCTGCTTTCGGTTTTTCCTCCAAATTTCTCATCTTAAAATTCAGGGATTGTAATCATCCAGAATTATAGAAGCTTTTACTGACATCTTTGTTTGTCACAAAAGAAACAAATAGTAAGTAGGAGTCATTTTGTGCTTGTCTTTTAGATGATGTTCTGGTAGCTCTGGTGCTGTTATCCCTGGCCTTGTTTGTCTCTTTCTGTCTCAATGTCATCTTCTGCATGAGACGAAGCACCAAGTTGTGCAGAGGTACTGTATGGTTACACGTAAAGTCATTGTTTTTTTTCAAATGTGGTCACCATTTATTCTAAACCTCTCAGCTTTTACAAGGTATACGTCAAATTGCTAAATATTTTGTTCATACAGAGACAGACGAGTGCTGCCTCAAACACATTTGTACAGCAGAAAGGTATGCTTTTTATTAATTTATTTAATGACGCTTAAACATGTGTGCATGTCTGCCAATTATTATTTGGTCCAATACATCTTAATTTGTAGTAAGTATTCCAGTATTTTCTTTTCTTTGTAATGTGCAAATGACATCTTATTAGAGAAAAATACTTTTTGTTCTTCCGTAACTTGATGAAGCCCGTCACAAGATGAAGGACATTATTTTCATAACCTCAATGATGATGAGCAGCAGCAAAATCCCCACGATCATCACGAGCCACAGGAAAATCCAATCTACGGTAACATCAGCTCAGAAAGAAGAGGTGAGCACCACCTGCGTTCTGTGAACTTCTTCAAGAAATCACTGAATTCTTCTTGGAATGTCAGTAAAACACAATTATTTTTGTATGATGCGTCTACTAAATTTTTCGTAATAATTACAATATGATTGTTCACTTTTGTGTGTTTGCAGACAGTAAAATATTATTGCAAATGCCATGTTTTAGAAACATTCAGTGTGTGTTTTTAAAAAGGACACGGATAGACGGAGCCGTTTCAATAACAGAAACAGGCTGAGCAGAAGATAAATACATATAAAAACTCTACACTATAAAAAGGTTACACTTTAGATACATGCATAAATAAATGCATTTGGCTAAAAACTGTATTTCCTTGTCAACCACTGTTTAAATTCCTGTCATTTTCAAAATGTTGCTGTTTGTTATAATTTAGTCAGATGAATATTTAAAAATCTAGATATTTGTCTTCTTCTTTGTGAAGTATATGTGTGCCTATTGTGATTAGTACAATGTCAAACAGATGACCGAATCCTGTGTTTCACTTATTCAGATTCTGCAGACGTTTGCTATGAGATAATGACCATGCAACAGACAAGAGATCGTATGAAGGTAACTGCTTTGACTGAATGTTCAGACTTCGATCTGATGATATTACGTACTATATTATATATGATGTAGCATTCTATCATACATTTGTATCATACACTTATCCCCAAATTGCCGTATGAATGATTAGTTAGAGTCCTGATGAGCAGGTGGCACCTTGCATGGTAGCCCCTGCCATCAGTGTATCAATGGTTGTTAATGGGTGAATGTGTTTAACTGCATTTTGCGGCATGAAGACTAAAAAAAGAACTATACAAGTACAACTTTACCATCTCCAATATGGACGATGAAATGTAGTTAATATAATATACACTAAAGCAACAGCTGGTTTTACGAGTTGTTTACAAAAGTATAATCCTATTCTAGACCAGTCAATGACTATAGTTTGTAAATGCTGGTAATCTAGTACATTTGTTTCTACGTTCACACTGAAACTAAAATGTGATAGCGTGTATTTGGTGTAAAAATACACATGCAGAGTGCAGACCAGTTTAACCCATGCTGATTTTTGCTTTCAAAACGGAAGGTAGCACCTTAGACACTGTGGTAAAAGAAACTGAGCCAATGAACACAATTAAGCACGCATGTTCTAAAAATAAACCAGACTTACAGAAATACATGAGACCCTTCCACCACAAGACCTAAAATATCATCAATCATTTAAAGTGCTGCAGCTTTTTTGGTTTACTAATGAAAACATTTTGTCTCGTGTTTGACACAAGTCTTTACAGCCTGACCTGAATTATGCCTCGCTGGATCTAAAGATGGCAAAGAAACGCATGAAGAACAATCGCCACCAGCAAGGCCACGCTCAGGGACGGAACAAACTTCAAGATGAGCTGCCAGTCCATCTCACACCCCCTGCGAATTCTTTCTTGGAGGTGGAAGCAGACATGGACGCTGACCTTCCATCCAGAGACACCAGCATCATGGTTTCACACAGTAGCATCTACCTGAACAGTCAACAGATAGCTCAAGAGACCGAGGAGATGGAAAGAGAATGGGGCATGAACATGGAGAGGGAGGATGTGGGTTGGGAGGGGAAAAGATGGAGGGAGGATGGGCAAAGTACAAAGTGGAAAGGAGAGCAAGGAAGTGAGGAAAGAAAAAATAGACAAGACCGTAATGGGAGCGTATGCACACAGCTTACAGAGGTAGAGGCTATTCAGAGTGACGCGGATCGTTTCATCAGCAGCTTTAGCCATGATAGTGACCAGTAGCATTAGACAGACATCATATTAAGATGTTCAGAATTGAATAAGAAACCTGAAAAAAGCAAAAGTGACTGTCCATTACTGTGTCTGTAAGGACGAAAACTATGTCACCTTCAATATTCAGCGAGCTTTGCGCAATTTCATTTCCACTCCCCCCACTGAGCATCTAAGGAACAAAAGGTGTACCTTTCTTTGCAGAGGAAGCAATCAATGTAGAGGATATACTGAGAAAAAAGGAAACTGGCTGACATTTAGAGGTCAAGGGCCACATGGAAATATTCTATTTATTGCGAAAGGCAATGAAAACATCACATGACACGACAGATCTTTTATTGTTTTGATGTCTCATAATCATACATCAACAGATGTCTCGGAAAGGTGTGAAGGGAAAAAAAGAATCATACATTTGTTTTCCATGCTGTAGGCATTAGCCAAGCTTTGAAATGTTCTTGAATAAATGTTGCCTAAACGTATGTGAATCAGCTTTTCAGTCATGTAATGACTGTAGATAAATGTTGATGTGAAGATACATTTAAGCATAAGAAAGTAAGATACAGGAAGTGGGATATATAAGTAATGTAATTTGATGTTCCCTGTGGGCATATAGTTATGTAAATGTCACCCACAGAAGACGTTCCACATCAAAGTTACGATAATGTTCATTAGCTTCATAATCTATTGCGCTGTCTGCTAAAAGTGTTATGTCCCTCTCTGTAATCTCCACTTGGGGAGGATCATTTACTGCCCTGTTATTTGTTGAGGGAGCTGAGCTCTGAAGTGAACTTAGCAGTCAGAGACCCGCAGTACACGGACTGGTTGTTGTCAACTTTTCAATAGCCGACCATGGCCTCTTTCCCCTCTATGGATTACACAAATAACTAAATAATAAGGCACCGTTAGTAACTGTCATATCTTAGTACGAAAACAACCTGGAAATATTTGCCTTGTCTTCCATAGAGTCTTCCACTTTGTCATATTAAAGTTGTTAATTAGTAGCATTTTGTCATATGTAAATTATTATCAGCTAGAATTTCAAACATAGGTACAGGTACCATAAGCAATTGACACAATCGCGAAGAATCCTCACTCGTTGTCTCTGTGTCGGCATCTACATCAGATCTGCTCTACAGTACAAAATATAGTGGAGGTAAACTAAACTCCATCACAGAGTTGGGGGCAACCAAAAAGAACAGCGAGGGACCACATACTGATTACTAACTTAGTTAGAAAGAGGATGAACTGATGGTGTTCACCCTGCAGAAACCACACACAAAGTAAAGAGAAAGAACAAAGGCACTGGGTGTGGCAGGCTTTTAAAATCTGGTCCAACACAGCTGCTGAGACCAATCTCTCTTAACGAGGAGCCTGCCAGGAGAGCAGCTGCTGTCAATCTATCAAATGGCCTCTCAGTCAACCAGAAACACAAAGTTATTCAAAAGAAATACTAAACTCTTTGCTTGTATCATAGAATATGTTATGTTAAGTCGATTTTCCATTTGCTCACTTTCAAGAGAGCATTGAGGAGAGAATTGACTTTGGTGCTTACCTTCCGCCATCAGATGGAAACTTTGTATTCTCTCATTAGTATTACAAATGAATGCACATTGCTGAGTGAAAGCTATTGAAATTACAACCTTTCCATGTGCATATTTATGGAAATAGGTCACTGGTAATGATGTAGAAGGTAAAATATGAAAAAACATTCACATGAACACCCCCTCAAGTCATAACAACAACTCGGAAACAGCTTACGTGTTGTTTAAGCGCCCTGAGCAATAAAACACAACACTGCTTCTTTGTAACATCCATGTTGCTTTCATATTACGAGTTAAATTAAGACACTGAAGTCGGAAGAGCAACTTCCCAACTCAGGTTTCTGGGACTATCTGAGGAGTGCATTGTCTGCTTTCAGTTTTCTTATGGATTGCTTCTGGTCTGTGCCCAGCCGGAAAGAACGCTGCTGTCCAAAACTGTTTAGCTAGCTGACTGCAGCTTACAAATGTCAACTTCTGCTGCAGCGGAGTGTCTGATATCAAAGGCTGTGGGGTTTTTTGGCAAGCAGTCGTTTCTTCCTAAAATCTAAGTAAGTTAAAGTTGGAAAGTAAAGATGTCCAGTTTTATTCCAACAACATGGACAGCAGGTCTGCTGGCACAACTGTGTGCCCATCTTTACTTCCTAAACACACACTGTGTTTGTAAAATATTTTCTTCTAATTTGAAATATAATAAATTATTATGATTTTGAAACATTCACACATTATTCTGTGGCACTTACACCATTTAAATAAGTAATTTGCCATACATGATGTCTAATTTCTAACAAGTTCACTACCACTGGACTGATCAAAAATGCCCATGTTTGTACCGCCCATTTTAGAACTTATTTTGAATCCATTTGTGGTTGTGTTTAGGTAAGTAATGGTTCGACTGTGCCTTTCCCTCATTCATAGTGTTTTCTGTTTTACCCCTGCGTGTGGTCCCCTGTTTGTTCTCTCTCTGACTATGTGTGTTTGTCTAGGTGTCTCACTCAACTAACACTCCTGCTATCAATCAACCTGCACACCTGTGAACTATCCACTCATCAAGCTCCTGCAGTATATTTTCCCCGGCTCTACACTCCCATCTTCTCCCCATCATTCAGATTGCCAATATGGTACAAATGCTATAGCCAATTTCAACTGTCAAGTTGTAGCCTCCTGTTTGTCTGAATCCTGTGTGTCCATGTGCTTCAAGTCCCTTCTCTGCCTGTCTCGCCCATCGCCTTGCCAGTCTGCTTTCCAGCCTACAGTTCTGCTCACTCTGTCTTAGCTCTGGATCCACTCTCACCACCCATTTCCTTTAAGCTGTGTGTGAACTTTTTCAAACGTCCGTTCTTGTCTGGGGTCCTAAATCCACTCTACACCACAGGTTATTGCCCTTGCATAGTATTACAAGCTATTGCACTCTGCCAGATTTTCTTTGTGTAACTGCACGTGCACACTTGGGTACATCATTTACAAACTATTACGGGTTAAAAACTTTTTCCCAATCTAATGAATATGAAAGTTGTGAGAGGATGCATGATAGGTGGTTTATATTCAGAAATGAGCAAGCTATTGAAATTACAACCTTGATATTATTGTGCATATTTATGGCAATAGTTCACTGATGGCAACTGTGGCACAGAAAGTAGAGCGGGTAGTCTACTAATCGGCAGTTGGATCCCAGGCTCCTTCAGTCCGCATGTTGCAGTGTCCTTGGGCAAGAAACTGAACCCGAAATTGCTCCTGAAGGCTGTGCTATCCGTGTGTGGATGAATGATTATATTAAAATCTGATGAGCAGGTGGCCTGTTGCATGGCAGCCCTTGCCATCAGTGTATGAATGGGTAAATGTTTGCATGTACAGTAACTCTTGAGTGGTCAGAAGATTAGAAAGCAAATGCAGGTCCACTTACCGTTATCAAATGTTAATAATGTCAAAGGATTTTCCTCAGGGCTGATTTACAAACAAGTGTTGTGATGAATAGGTGATTATGTTGATATATTCAGAAATGAGCAAACCATTAAAATAATCTTTAAAAGAGCTTTTATTATTATTATTCATACAGGAAGGTGGAAAAACATTTTTTTCCGCAAAGGGTTTCTACAGTTGATCCAAACTCGTTTTTTAAGATCCACTATCTTGTCGACCTTTAATTGACACCATATTCCCACAATCAAAATGATGTTGTTAACCTTTATAACCATCAAAGAGATCCGGTTCAGCACCAACAACTGTACCACTTGGAGACGCTAGGGGCGAAGTTGAGACGCTTTCTGTCGCCACTTTAATTATGACCGAGTGACGCGTCGTTCCTGCTCGTAGACGATCTTTGTTACAAAAATGGCTGCGCGCATGTGAATGTCATGCCATCTTACACTATTCCCTGAATCGGTTCGTGTTTTGGTGCGATTTAGTTGATACGCTGAAGCCGACATCTAAATTACATCTTGCGGAAGTGTGTTGTCACTCACCCTCAGACAGCTAAAGATCAGGGAATCCATAACCTGCTTGATTCAAGCTCTCGATGTTAGCATTGTAGCTAACTATAACATTGCGTGAGTCAACTTAAGACGGAATCACGATGGATACTGACCAGCAACTGAGAAATGTGAGTGTCATTCAGATACAGTGGCAGATGCATTGGGGTTTATTCGTCAATGTTTGATTGGGACTTTGGGTGATTGTGTCTCTTACAGCTGCGGGATTTCCTAATGGTTTACAACCGCATGACTGAAACTTGCTTCCAGCGATGCAGCAGCAACTTCAACTACAGAAACCTCACCATGGACGAGGTACGAATGCTGGGAATCATATAGGTTACACATGTGTGCATATAATCTTACAGAACATGGCCAAAAGTATATAGACACACACATATGTCCGTGGTGAATACCTGTGGACTCTGTTTATATACTTTAGGCCATGCAGTGTACCATGAACACATTAGTCTGTATTTATACTTCACCTGTTTTGTTAAGTTATCCACTCATCGTTACCGATTGCTGTTGTCTCTCCAGGAGAAATGTGTGGACAACTGCGCGGGGAAGCTGATTCGCACTAACCACCGCCTGATGGGCACCTACGTGCAGCTGATGCCTCGGATGGTGCAGCGTCGGATGGAGGAGATGGAGAGCAAGGCAGCAGAAAGTGCCAAGGCAGCAGAGGCTGCCGCATCTGCACGTGTGGAGCCTCCTGCCGCCGAGGCCTCACCAGCATCTCATACCCCCGTCAGCTTCTCTCAGCCGCCACCAGCAGCTCCGCTGTCGGATCAACCTTTTACCCCAATGACGATTGATGATGCTGGACCAGTCTTAAAGCCAGTAGGATTGAGTATTCCAGTTGAGCTTGACGCTGCCATGTGCAATTCCAGAACGGTGTCAGAAGTCAAGTTCTCAGCCGCCACACCGCTCACACCTGTGATTGAAACAGCGAACAGTGCTTAATGAAGCTGGACCATCTTATAGAGCAGGCTTACCTCTGCCGCCAATAGCTGGTGCCCGAATTGAGTCTGGGATCTCAGCGCCTCTATTTACGCCGTCTAAACCAGATGTGTCAACAGTAGCTGCACCTACAGTGTCTAAGTCCATGGAAAGCCTGTCAGGCCAACAGACGGCCCCAGAGGTTACCCCGCCGTCGGGCCAGTAATGATGGCCGGACTGGGTGTGCCTCCGGAGGTTAAACCGTAGTGATGTGGCCTAAACCCAAATGTGACATTCGCTGTATTGCTGAAAATAATTACTGATTAATAGATTGACCTGAATTATACAATAGCATTTCAGCTATTGTTACATATGAACTCTTCATGTCATATAGTCTTTTTCTGAGTGTATTCTCTCAAATGTGAACAGTTGATGCTTTCAGGTTTGTCTCTGTTTGAAGTCACTGTTGACCAATGAAAATAATCTTAGATTACAGCTTTAGTGCCCTCTGACAGGGAAATAAAATGAACCCCTATGGTGACAAAACATAGTCAAGCATGTCACTCTTGATAATAATAATAATATCTAGTTATTTCTGACAGTATTGCAAAGTGCCAGAAATGTTAACAAAAACAAATATGCAGACATTACAATCTTAGTTGTAAATGTTTTGTGATAAGCGGCAAAACAAGAAGGAAGTTCTTGTGAGTGTAGTATGTATGTGTGTGTGTGTGTGTGCTATGTCAGTTGAAAAATGGTTTAGTGATGGCAGTGACATTGCCGATCAAAGCTCCATAAGGATCAATCCCCGAGCTGCCTCCTTTATTGTAGAGCTTGATTATATTTTGACTTCAGTCTGGACTTACAGCAGCCCGGAGGGCTCAATCTGAGGACACCCTGAACACACTCATTTCTAAAAACTGTTTGAAAGATCATTTTCCATAATAAAAAAAAAAGTGTCTATTGTTTTTGTCATGTATTTAATTTGAATGTTCCATTGACCGCCTCTTGTAAGGTCCTGCTGCTGCTGGATGTCCTAACGCAGCAGTGGTCAGTGCGTATCATGCCAACGCACTGTTTTGGGTGTGAGTCCAGTTCATGACCTTAGTCACATATCATCACCTCCCATAATTTCCTGTCTTTCCACTAAACGTGTTCGAAACCATAATAAGCGATCTTGAAACGGCGTGCCCAGCGGCTTTATTCCTCAACTAACTCAAGTAAGTTAGTTCCTCAGCGCAACTGTCAGCCAACAGATGTGACAGTTAAGGATGGTAGAAGAAATACGTTTGGCTAAGAATGAAAATAGTTGGTTAGTTCCAGTTTGGCGGATATGCTCATGCTATAATCCAACCAATTCTAATACAAAGATAAAACCAATCATATTTTCAATTAGCGTAATGCTGATACAACAAAAAGGCCAACCAACATTTATCTTAAAAACAAAAACTGTGAAAAAAAGCAAATATATCTTTGTTGGATTTCATCACTCTTAAGTCATGACAAGTGTGACAGTGAGTCAGCATGCACAGTACCAGCTCCCTGAGACTGCTTTTCTTTCTGGCATGTGTGATTTATTTGTCACACTTAAATCCTGAATTGAATGGTTAAACAGAAGAGGTCAAAGGGCCAAGATGAGAAGATGTAATGTTGGTGTGGTCCAAATAAAATGACTTCAGTTGTATTGCCATAGGGATACATAAAGTCAATGTATTTCTAGAAAATACATTGACTCACCCTTGAATGTTAATATCGGCTACAAGAAAAAATCTAGTATTGGTCCGGCTCCAACTACAAATCACAGATCTTATAGTGATGGTCAACGGCAAGGAGACAAATAATTTAATATCTGTGGATTTTCCCTCCACTACATGGTGGCTGTTTTCTTGATTAGCAGTTTTTTTTTTCATTACCATGTATTTGGAACACATAGTTTGTATCGGGACAAATTACAGTAAAAGATGCATGATTTATACATCACCTGAGCTCGGTATTTTCGGGCACGTGCAGCTGTGCCGCTGGATGTAGAGCATGATTGCATTGCTCCCAGCAGGGGGCGCTGTTGTGAAGGTGTCCCGGGACATTGGGCTTGCCAGTAGCAGAGCTCCTCTAACTTCTCACCAGTAGCCAACATCAACTCGTAGGAGCGGGGCGTGGACTCCGGCCGAGTATTCTCTGCTCTTACATTTCAGGAGACGACCGACTTTTCGGGGAAGAAAAAAAGAAACTGACAAGAAACCGATCGATTGGCAGCTGGTAAGAGTTCTGATAACGCTTTTGTATCTTAACTAGTTTTGTTTCCATTGTGGTTTGCGGAAGTTTTGTTTTGGATGTCCAAATTCACTTTGACTTTTTAACAATAGATTTCAAAGTGACCCAATAGGCCAGCCCTTCCGATTTCAACGGAGGTGGATAGAGCCAAGGGGAAATGTGGGAATATATTCAACTACCTCATAATGTCATTTCAATGGGCTCTGCCTGGCTTTTTATGTTTCTTTGCGCAGCAGATGGTGACTTGAAGTCTGGTTTACTGTTAATAGGAATATGCTGATACCATAGGCTAAAAGACAAAACATAAAGTACATTATTCACACACGGCCATTTCAAGAAGAATAAACAAATCTATTTGACGTTATGAATATTGACCTAATATAAGTGAACTTAGAGACAGTGAGTGTCTGTCTACCTGCCAAAAATGGTCCTCCCAGAAGATGTAGCCTACTGTACAGTGCACAGCAAGAACACTTGAACACATTTATGTACTTTCCATAGTTTTTCAGGAGCAAAAACACAAACTCTCTCACACAAAGGAGTCTTTTCACCTTTTGCAGGCTACATGTTCCTGATCTCAAAAGAGATAGAAAGAGCAACCAGTCAAGAGAGGCAACCCACAGCATAACCATGGATGACATCTTCACACAGTGTCGAGAAGGGAACTCTGTTGCTGTTCGCCTGTGGTTGGACAACACAGAGAATGACCTTAACTTGGGGTAAGCGGATTAATGTGCACACACTTCAGCCACACACACACACATACGAAGCTTTAAAGACGACCGTCTTCATCATCTCTTGGATGTTGGAGTCTCGCTGTAAAGTCTGCGCAGTAACAAATTGAGTACGGCCCTCTAATGAATGGGGTTGACTTTATAGCAAACGTACTACATTTGGTATGGCGGGTGAGTGAGTCTGTGCTGGTGTGTGTGTGTGTGTGTGTGGGTGTGTGTGTGTGCGTACAAAGCAGTCCTTGGCACATTAGAGGTGGTCAAATAGTTTCCATATTGTGCTCTCCCTGCAACTCCACACACTGCTGAACATCACCCAGCTTTTGGTAATTCCAGTCCAGTCGTTCCCCTCGTCTTCTTGGATTTCTTTCCTTATGATGTCATCCCCAAAAACTGCGCTTGTCTAAAAGCAGTGGGTGATTTGTGGAGGTTGTGCCATGACGTCAATTTATGACTCCGGCAACAGAATATAACCTAAAACTCATCCAGCAAATCACACAGTTTCGATTATAGTGCTGAAATGATTTAGTAGATTTTTAGAAAATAATCACATAATCATTTTAAATTGAATATTTTGAGTTTTATAATGTTGGTCAAGCAAAACAATCAGTTTGAAGGTGTCACTCAATGTAATGTGCTTTTTTTTTTTTTACATATACTATATTCCACATATATATTAAAACATAATGAATTAATCCAAAATATAAGTGATAAAGCAACTTATAATGGACATGAGTTGCAGCCCTAGCAATGTTGAGGATAATCAGTGCACTTCTTAACACAATTTCCTTGCCAGAAAGGAGCTACAAGACCTCACTGCTAAAGACCTCGGTTATCTCATTCTTAGGCCAGGCCATATATGTGCAGTTTGTTGACGTTGACTTTGAGGGCTGCGGTGCTGCTAGCCAACCACGCAACAGCCAAGGCCATTTCCTCTGTTCAACTCCATACAGGGCCAGGCCCTCGCTGACAGAGCTCCTCAGGCAGCGAGCTGCAGTCCCACATAAACATCTGAGAGACCAGTCATTATGCTGGAGGCCGGCTTTAGCTGTTAATATGAAGAGACTCAACTGTGTCTGTGTCTTTCTTCTCTTTCGGGATATCCAATAATTTGTAGTTAGCGTTGTTTTCTTGGGAAATGTGCTTTTCCCCTGAATTTTGAAGCTGAAAGTAGGAACTGGAGAGGGAGTCCACTGAGACTAACATTAAATGCCATTTCAGATCTCCCCTGGGAGGTGTGTGTGTGTGTGTGTGTGTGTGTGTGTGTGTGTGTGTGTTTGAGCGAGTGACCACAGGAAGACACAGGGAGACTCACAGAGAATGTGAAGCTGAGGATTCCACTGTGTATTTTCCGATCTGTCGTTCCCGAGTTACTTTTTATAGCACACGGGGTCAGTCTGACTATGGACTGTCTGTCCACAGTGCTGGATCCGAATTGACCGAGAATGCGACTAACCGCTATTTCACTTTACTGCGAGCTAGTACTGCAGCTATTTCCTACAGGCCATACAAGCCCTCTTGAGGTTTGTTGTTAAACAGAGTGTGGAGTTTGTGGCTTCGCGGGGAGTTGTGAGGAGCCCCAGCAGCTGCCCCGGGGTCAGCTAATGTGAAGGAGTCACTTGGGTGAAGGGGCCAGTAACACATAGGTGGTAGCTTGGCTCCTTGTAGACAGCAGCGGTGCTATGTGTACGCTGTCTGCGTCTTTGCATATGTTAGCAGGCATTCCAGCTTGCATGGACATATTTACTAGGCCAGTCGTCAGACGGGCACGAGGAAACGTGCTGAAGTCTAAATAAAGATTGGTAGGTAGGGGAAGAGTGAACCACACAGATGATATTTTGACAGCTGGTATATGCTCAGAGATGTTAAGAGAGCACCCTATGCATTTCTCCAAATATTATCATTTTTGAAAAATATTCTAATTCTACTTCTAAGTTTAGGACGCGTCCTCCTTTGCTCTTTATTCACTCCGTGTGTCTTTTTGTGTTTTAGTGATGACCATGGCTTCAGCCCCCTCCACTGGGCATGCAGGGAAGGGAGGAGCGGAGTTGTTGACATGCTCATCATGCGAGGTGCTCGTATTAATGTGATGAACCGTGGAGATGATACTCCATTACATCTCGCCGCCAGTCACGGGCATAGAGACATTGTGGCAAAGGTAAGCACACCATACGGTTACAACTGGACCCTTCGTGCTCCGTTTACATTGTCCCAGGGAAGGAAACCTGCTTCGTTGCTCATTTTTCTCACTCTATGACCTGTGAATGCCAGCTGATTCAGTGCAAAGCCGACCCCAATACAGTCAACGAGCATGGAAACACACCACTTCACTACGCCTGCTTCTGGGGCCAAGACGAAGTGGCAGAGGTGCAGTACAACACACACACACACACGCACACACACACACACACACACACACACACACACACACTCCTGTTCTTTTAGCACAATCTGTTGGCTGAAAATGCCCTCTTCTGGGGAGAAACGGACACTACAGTGCACGTTTTTGTCAGTGTCTTTGCTTTTAACCCAAAACAAAAATCATAACCTCTCTTTTTTAGGACTTGATGACCAGTAGTGCCCAGGTGTGTGTATGTAACAGGTATGGACAGACACCTCTGGACAAGGCCAAGCCTCACCTGAGACAGCTGCTCCAAGGTCAGAGGTCACCTTTTGGCATTTGAACACCCTAACGGGTGATATTATTCAAGTAAATCATTATATTGGCAAAATAAAAAAGGATCACCACTTTATTTTTGTGTTGTTCCTTCTTTTATGTAGAAAAGGCAGAGAAAATGGGTCAGAGTATGACCAAGGTACCCTATAAGGAAACTTTCTGGAAGGGAACCATGCGAACACGACCTCGTGAGTAAAATTCACCGCATGAAAGAAACAAATCATCAGATCAGGATGTTTGGTTATTCCTGCTTTGTCTCTTTCAGGTAATGGTACCCTCAACAAGCAGGCTGGTATTGATTATAAGCAGCTTTCGCTCCTGGCAAAGATCAATGAAAATCAGTCCGGAGAGGTCAGTTGCACTCTATGTTCACTGCTTTTTCAGTCTTTTTTTAAATTTATTTTCAGTTCCCAAGTTGTTAACTGGGCTATGTGCTCTGTCTGCAGTTATGGCAGGGTCGGTGGCAAGGGGATGAGATTATAGTGAAGGTGCTTCAGGTGAGAGACTGGACCACCAGGAAGAGCAGAGACTTCAACGAGGAGCATCCAAAACTCAGGTAATCTACACATCAGTTTTCTAACAATGAAAAGGGAATGGTGGTGGTTTGCATTTATTGTGGTGTCTGCACAAAGCATATAAATATCAGAGTTCATTTATGGGATTCACATGCCGTCAATCTGTTTGCTAGCATAAACTGAGGCTAATACATTTTGGTTCTGCTGTTTGGCTCTTCAGAGCCTGTTGGTATGGTATGGTATGGTTTTGTGATGAAACAGTTGTTGGCAGCTGTCTAATGTGTGATGTGCTCTGCTCTACAATGCGAAAAACAAATTCCACAAACCGCCTTCCATCACAGTGAACATTAAATCCATTCTGACATGGGATTCAATCAATCATAGTAGAATGGAAACAGTATTTTGTAATTCTGTTTGTCATGTTGATGTTCTTGTATCAAACAAATCGCAACATAAAGGGAAGCATTTGAAGATAATACATAAATTGGCCCTGTTTAATCAATGCAAACGACTTCAGACCAACTTTTAAGTGACAGGAAAAAAAAATCTCTCAACAAAACCTTAATAGGACAAAAATGAAGAAAGCTTTTGAGCAGGCCGATTCAAAGAATGAACCCGCAGCAGGAAGGCTGAGTGTGGAATTGGAAGAACTTGGCAGTGTGCTTTCATGTTGGCTTCAGTTCTTGCCATCTTTTAAGAATTGTAGCACACATGAAAGCATTTGGGATGAGTATATTCTGAGGCAACGTATGATCTGACGTGCACTCCAAAAATGAAAGAGCTTCATGTTAACTTTAAAGGGCCAAGGATGACACAAATGTGCTGCATGGGTACTTTTTTAGTTTTTTAGTTTTTAGTTTTTCTTGTCTTAACGTTTTTTCTTTAATGGGGTTTCCTCCCAACAGCAAAGTGTTTTACTCCAAATCATATGAAAAATACCTCCATGTTTTAAGAATATATTACTGTGTACTTTCAGCATTTACATTCTGTGTGTCTATCATGTCTCCATAGGATTTTTTCTCATCCAAACATTCTGCCTGTTCTTGGGGCCTGTCAGTCACCTCCATCCCCTCACCCCATCGTCATTACCCACAACATGCCATACGGATCCCTCTTCAACATCCTGCACCAGGGCACTAGTATGTACTTGAATCTATATACAAAGTGGAAATGTTTTTTATGGCTGAGGATTGCTACTGTAGATGGATGACATCGCACACCCATCCTCACCCCATCATACCTCTCCTGTCCTCCTGTGTCTTCCTCTTCCTCTTCCTCAGCTCTGGTGGTCGACCAAAGCCAAGCAGTGAAGTTTGCATTGGACATTGCCAGTGGCATGGCTTTCCTTCACACCTTAGAACCAATGGTTTCACGGCTTTACCTCAACAGTAAGCATGTCATGGTAAGACACTACTTTACTGTCCACAAATATTAACAAAAAGATTTGAGTCTATTACTGCCTCGACAGCAACTCACAATAAAGGTGATCTTGTGACTCTTTGACTAGCCAGATGTTTGATTTGCAGATTGATGAGGACATGACAGCCAGAATAAGCATGGCAGATGCTAAGTTCTCCTTCCAGTGTCCTGGTCGTAGTTACTCCCCAGCATGGATGGCCCCTGAAGGTATGTTTCCCTTTTTTTTTTCTCCTTCTTTGCTCTCCTCCCTTCCGCCTATACTTCCTCCTCTCATAATGCCTTCTCAGACTTTATGAGTCATGTAGTAAGGAGCATGCTGTACGCTATAATTTAGTCCCAGTTGTAGTCATGTGGTGTGTTGCCCGTGTTACAGAATAAAAACAAACAAACAAATGAGTTTTTCTCTCATGTTTATGAGTTTCCTTGTCCCTCTTGTTCGCAGCCCTGCAAAAGAGGCCTGAAGACATCAACAGAAGATCTGCTGACATGTGGAGCTTTGCTGCGTTACTGTGGGAGCTGGTTACCAGAGAGGTCCCTTTCGCTGACCTCTCACACATGGAGATCGGCATGAAGGTAAGTGGGTCGGGTATTTATCCACCCACTGGCTTGTCTGTATGCCCACACCCATAATTTCTGTATTCTACCGGTATTCCTCAGGTGGCTCTCGAAGGTCTTCGGCCAACCATTCCACCCGGGATTTCCCCTCATATCTGTAAGCTGATGAGGCTCTGCATGAACGAAGACCCAGCCAAGAGACCCAAGTTTGACATGATCGTCCCCATTCTGGAGAAGATGCAAGACAAGTGAATGCCTTCACAGCAATCTGTAAACTGCTGTTAAAATGGTTGTTTTTTTTAATCATCAAACCACTTCACTTCAATAATGTATCTGCTAAGCCACTGTAAATAATGTCAGAGACCACTTTCACTCCACAATTTAAACAATGCGTATTTTAATGCTGTTCTTGTATAAATTAAATTTGAGGTATAAATGTTCTTTCGCCTATAGCTCTTTTATTATGGCTGAAACATGTTCACTGGAATATTGGCAAACCTTTGAATCCAGTGTGGATTATATTCAGTGTCAGCGATGAGTCAGACAGAAACAGATCCAAAGAAATGTGTGTAAACAATGCTTTTATACACGTTAGCGAATACCAATGCAATAAATGTTTTATATTTATGACAAATCCTTGTTCTTTTGTTTATTTTTTTTGTTATTATGCCGATTGTTGGAAAGTTTTCAGTCAAATCTTGTGGCTTTCTTCAGTGGATAGAGTTTTTCTATTGAGATGATTGAGTTGGTAGATCAGTTGTTGTCCACTGAGCATACTCACGCCACTGATGAAGGCCACAAGATGGGGCTGAAAGCTTCAGGAAATGTATAATTAGTGGACCCTGTAAGTAAAATTGATAGTCAAATCACTTTTTCTAAAGTCTATAGTGAACCTTCAAGCTCAGCCCACAGGCTATGGATGCAGATTTCTCAAAGAACAAATGATTTAATAGCTTTGTAGGATCCACTGTCCTATTTGAGTTAGTGATGTATCACAGCAAACTAAATCTCGAGGGATTATGTTGGGATGCTGTATATATGGGTATGTGGGAGTGTGTGTAACTTTGGGTTTATGTTGGGAATTTATAGTTAAACTGTTTTTTTGATTAAGCGACTGTGTAACTGGTGCATAATGAGAGTAGTTACTGCCAAAATAGGATGTGGAAAGATCAATGCATTCTCCAAAGCGACTAAATTGATCTACCAGCTGCAGCGAGCTACAATTAATTTGCCTGGGAGCAAAAAAAAGTGTGTCACGTGACGAGTCACCTGACTGTCTGTGCCTTTAACAAGACCGACCAGAGAGCGCCACACAACAAGCAGTGTCCCGTCGACAGACAGGACGCTGTGGTTCCTCCAGGCTAACGTTACAGTTTGTCGAAGTGGAAACGGGACCGCCTTCAGTCTCCTGAGAAGACGACGAAGGCCGTCTGGTCTGCACTTTTCTTTCTTTGGAGGTGACGTTATATTTGCAAAAGAGTAGCTAGCTAGCGACCATGTTAGCAGGCAGTTTGCCGGTTTTGTGTTGGAGCCCCTTTTTTCAAATAAGTTTGTGGGTGTATGAGTCATTTCTTCTGCACTTGAAGTGTTAAACTACACCGAGCGTTACTTCCGTGACACTTCTCGCCTTCTGCTTTGTTTGTTCCTCTCCCTCACTCAGACTGAAAGCAAACGGTTCTCAGAGGACGCCTGCTGTCAGTCAGGACGATGAAGCTCTCCACCCTGCTGCCCTCCTTTGGACTCCTAGCCTGCTCTCTAGTGTTAACGTGGCCGCTGTTTGGGTCGTGTCATCCCGCACCGACCCCGCAGCAGCCCGGCCTGGTGTTCCTGGAGCGGTTTACCCGTCAAAGTGTGGGGTTTAACTGGGGAAATCTCACCTGTCCCCTGTGCAAAGCGTTCTTCACCATCCTCGACGTCGCCCTGCTGGTAAATGTTTGAGCATGTTTCTCAGGATGCTAGAAATAAGTAATGATGTATTTAAATTTATCTACCCTTCATGAGCAAGGTGGTTTTGATAGGGTATCTTGTTTTAGACTAAGTTGCTGGTTTCGTGGGTATGCCTCTTAAAGTAATGCAGTTTAATAAAACATTCCTGCTGTAAAGCCTATCTTTAGAAAGGCTAAGAAGGTCCACTCAGTGTTCTTCTTGAAAATCTATATCTCCCTGTGTGATTGTGTATTGCTGAATTGGCACAAAAACATCCTTGAGACATCTTGATCACATGATCTTTTTGTTGACCTCAAATAATTTTATTTAATTGTATTCTTTATTGCCTCTCCTAGACTAACACGAATGAAGAGCGAGTGGCCCGTGCAGTGGGAGAGGCATGTATCCGTCTCCATCTGGCAGACGAGCAGGTGTGTCGACAAATAACGGAGTTGTTCCGGGATGACTTCATCCGGGCTGTGGAGGAGTCCGTGCTGTGGCCCACTGAGGTGTGCGCCCTGCTCGTGGGCCCTTCCTGTGGCAAGTTTGACATCTATGCCCTGTGGAACATCACCCTGCCGAAGGTCCCCAAGCCCCCTGTTACACCCCCTGTTCTTCCCAAACCTGGCTCTCCACAGAGCAGGGTCCTGTTTCTAACGGACATCCACTGGGACCAGGTGAGTGTCATTGAGAGGTTAGCCAGTATGAATTCAAGGACCGCAATCTACCCTCCAAAAACAAAAGTGGAAGTTACTGATTTACTTGAAAGTATTGTTGTTTTTTCTGTGAAATTGGCAATGACTAACTAGAAATCTGTAGGATTTTGGGTCACCTGACTTGGCTTTGGATGAAGCCCCGTTTCTAAATGTAATCCTCTCCACTGACAGGCATATGTAGCCGGCAGTGCCGGAGACTGCAAGGACCCTCTGTGTTGTCGCAGTGACTCGGGCTCTCCCAGCTGGCGGCAGAGGGAGGCCGGGTTCTGGGGAACCTACAGTAAGTGTGATCTGCCTCTACGGACGGTGGAGAACCTCCTGGAGAACGCCGTCAGAGACGGGCCCTGGGACTGGGTCTACTGGACCGGAGACATACCAGCGCACAATATTTGGTCTCAGACCCGGAAACAGCAGCTGTCGGAGCTTACGGTCATCTCCAGGCTCATCCACAAGTAATTTTCCTTTAGGATTGAATATTTTGATGCAAGAGAAACATAATTGCTCTCACATGACCTAGTGGAGTGTGTGCTCCCTATTACTGCTGATAACTTCACCACTTAGCTAGTTTCTAATAGAATAACATGTCACTGGTAATGCTTTTGGAATTTCTGGACAAAGCAGTTTCTTTGAATTTAATCTCAAAGTAGCTCAAAACATGCTGATAACATTTGGGAATGATTTTGCTGCTGCTTTGTTTGTCATGTGTTACTTGAGCCCCGTGCTATGAAGCAAGTTTACATACCGAGGATATCTCGTTCGATTATTGGGCTTCACAATCACGCTCGGTGGTCCCACAGCTGTGGTTATCAACCCTGTAAGTCAACACAGGTTTCCCAATCTTGCTGTGACTGCATTTACTTAAAGGGGGGGTGACATTTGCCGTGTATGACCAATCAAAATAATGGACAAGTCGACTGTCGGCAGAGCGACATTTTTCAAACTAAGAGCATACTCATAATCCAGGCTGAGAGAAGTTAACCTGATTCTGACCCACAATCCAAAAAAGTATAAGTGGCAATGTACCCTGGTAATGAACAAACCAGCATTGTAACCATGAAACTCCTCACTTACCCCAAATCATGCTTCATAGTACAGGCCTCTAGAATTGATCCAAACGGCTATTGACTCCCCCCTCCCATCTTGTGTCCAGACACCTGGGGCCCAACGTGACGGTGTACCCTGCTATAGGGAACCATGAGAGCACACCAGTGAACAGCTTCCCCCCACCATTCGTTCATGGCAACAGGTCCTGCTCCTGGCTCTACGATACAATGGCAGAGGAATGGGCACCGTGGTTACCAAAGCAGGCTTTGAAGACTTTAAGGTAAATAGTTTTATTGTACCTAAATGTTTGTTTCACCTTTTTGTAGATTACATCCCACTTTTAGCAATCGGAAGTAGTCTCATTTCTCTGAATATTGTTCGCTATATAGAGGCTTTCCAGTGCTGAAATGAACTTTGCGTCCTTCAGCTATGTCCCTTGATGTAATTTCAGATATGGAGGATTCTACACAACGGAGATTCAGCCCGGTCTGAGGGTGGTCTCTCTCAACATGAACTTTTGTGCTCGAGAGAACTTCTGGCTGATGGTGAACTCTACTGATCCTGCTAACCAGCTGCAGTGGCTGGTCCATATTCTGCAGGCTAGTGAGGACAAGGGAGAGAAGGTGAGCAGCACAAACAAAAGGACTGAAGACATTGTAAAAGCAATCAAACTGTTAGTGTGGTCCAGTTCCTACCCATGTGCTACCTATGTGGGGAAAGACTCTATGGCTTTGACATTTTCCTTCCCTATATTTGCTGTTTTTTTTAATGAGTTTCTCCTTTTTATCTTAGGTCCATATAATTGGTCACATTCCACCTGGCCTGTGTCTTGGCAGCTGGAGCTGGAACTACTATCACATTGTCAACAGGTAGCTACACTGATCATGTAAACCTAAAGATGTCTCATCCCTGAACTGTTTGAAGTTGCTGCAGTGAAGGCAATTGGAGGAGCAGTGCATCTTTCTCTGTTTGCGTACTGTTACTGAGCAGAGGACATGAAGATGTGAACACTAAACAAGCAGCGCTTGTTTCACTTCCTCTTTGTTTGCATGACTAGATCAGATCTTTTGTGTGGTTGTCGGCTTTAATTAATCAATATATATGTTTTATTTGAAGGTCAGTGGCCTGCTGTGGTTAAAGCTGCTGCATGTGACAGATGAGAGAAGTTGTAAAGGTTTCTCTTTCTTGTTTAACATCCTCTTTATTTTCTCCCAGATATGAAAGTACAGTTACTGGACAGTTTTTCGGCCACACGCACCTCGATGAGTTCCAAATGTTTTATGATGAGGAAACCATGACCCGCCCACTGGGAGTGGCGTTCATTGCGCCCAGTGTCACTACTTACATTAATCTTAACCCAGGTGAGTTCATAAACTAGTTCAATGACCTCCCAACATTTCAGAAGCAACACGCGGCTAAATATAATTCTTTCCAGGTTTCCGTGTCTACTATGTGGATGGTAACTACCAAGGCAGTTCCAGGCTGGTGCTCGACCATGAAACTTACATCCTGAACCTCACGGAGGCCAACCACAGTCCAGGAGCACCGAGTAGCCTGGAACAGAACCCCAAATGGACACTTCTGTACCGCGCCACCGAGGCCTACGGGCTGACAAGTCTGTTCCCTTCCGACTACGACGGGATGCTGCGGACCTTTATCAAAGACGACCGGGTCTTCCAGAAGTTCTGGTACTTAAGATTTAAAGGACACGTGTCAGCGCCCTGCCAGGAGATGTGCAAAACCACTCTGCTCTGCTTTCTGCGAAGCGGGCGATACGACGAGCTGGAGCAGTGCGACTTCATCAATGGTTTTGGAGGAAACTTGGCACGGGCCGCCAGAAAAACCCTCTGTTGACCAGAGGTCTGGGTGAGGGAAATGTAGGACCAAATCTGAAATTCTGCCAAAGTGTATTTTCTGTTGCTAGTTGTTCAAGGATTGTTTAAGAGCAAAGTCACGAGAGCTAGTCATTACCTGACATGTCTGAAGAACTTAGTTATGCCTTGTGTTGTCAGTCATGTTTCTACAAAGACGTCTGACTGATTGTGATTGTAACAGGCTCTGGGTTTGTCAGCTGTTTTGCAATGTCAATTTCGTAAAGACTGCTTGAAATGGTCCTGAACTGTGTTCTAGTTGCTTGAAATGCACAAAACTGCAGGAGTTTGGTTGTTTGAACATCATGAGTTTGGCAATTCTGTTGTACTTGGTGCCTTGTATCAGGAAAAATTATTTTAAACATATCTATCTTTAGCAACAATCTTGTGACTCTAAAATGATGTTCTGAAGAATAGCTTGAAATTAATCTCAAGATAAACTTCATAACATCAGAGAATTAGAGTTTCTTTTAAATTGTGACGCAGTACTTTCTGTCCCACTCAAAATGAATCATGACAGGTTTTGATAAGTGAAAAGCTGGCAGAAGGATTCATTGAATGTGTTCATCAAAGTGGGGAGGTTGCAAAGCTAATGCCAATATGGAAACCTATTTGGTAGCCTATTAATTGAATGTGGTGCAATAATGGATCTCAGGTTTGAGCTTTGCAGAGTTTCTAAGCAGCAAATCGTATCTCTGCCCAGTCACTTTGACGTCCATCTGCACTTTTATTTTAATTTTTTTGGTGGGGATTTAGGCCAGTACAGTATTTACTTTAAATCGGCTCTGCCTCAGAAACCACTTCTTCAAAACTAGATATAGGAGGGTAAAAACACTGTTGTAGCCACTGAGGTTCAATGCCGTCTGCACTTTAATTGTTTTGCTAGTTAATGTTCAGGTTTGATGCAAAGTGTGACAAGCATAGGAAGGCCGTCGGCTCTGTGGTGTAACATGAGCAACAATGTGAAGAGATTGTATAAAAGATGTAATCTGATACTGTTTGCTTTGAGGGGATAAACATGAAATGCAAATGAAAAGGCACTCTTTGTAGCGCTACATTGGTGAAAGCAACTTTTGACTTGTATATTGTACGAATTAACAGTTATCTGCTGCCTACCCTTCTGAAATGTCAAGTCACATACAGAAAACATAACAATGCAGAAACTGAGGGCATGTCCACATTACTCCGTTTTTGTTTGGAAATGCATGCTTTGCTACGTTTACATTGAGCGTCCACATTACGCCGGAGTTGTAGAGCACCGTAAACGGAGGAGTTTGAAAACTCCGGGGTTGCGTTTTCGTGTGGACGGCCGAAACTGGATACATTCAGAAACTGACGCCCACACCCACGTTCGCTACTTGATTGGTTCTTAGCAGTCATGACGTATCCTTCCCTAATTCATCACATGCCTATCACGTGACCCTAACCCGGAAGCTCACAAACTATTGATTACCGATAGACTACCAGGTTAATTTAACATGGACAACTGATTGCAGGCCTTGCTGACCTTGTCTTTACCAGCAGCTGTTCAGTTAAAGTCTGCATTATTACGAAGGAAGCTGCTGTTATTGGAGCAATTAGTGAGCGGCGTTATCAGCCCTACGGAGCGGCTGTCTGAAGACATGGTTAGCAGTAAATGCTATCCAGGACGACAGATGGCTAAGCCACCAGCAGAGCTACGAGTGAGATGTGTTGACCACATTTATGGACCCATAATCTAGTAAACGTGTAAGTGATTTAAAAGTAAATTTGATAGACACGCAGCACTGTAACGTCTGAAAAATAAAACTTCTAAAACTTTCCACAAACTCTGCATTTAGAGGAAGATCTTAAGTATTGAACAACCCATTACTCATATTTTACTAAGCAACCAATCTACTTCCTGTTTAGTCACACGCATGCCCAGTGTACGTTAATGTTCACGTGATATCCGTTTTCGAAGGTTGCCGTATGGCTGCAGATCAATCTGAAAACGATGCTGAAACACCCGTGTGGACGGAGATCGTTTATTTGAAAACGCCGTATCCAAATAGAAACTGAGTAGTGTGGATGTACTCTGAAGGAAATGTGTAGGTGTCTCCTGTGTGTAACTGTTGTGGTTTCCACTGTTGCCTCACTCAGAACATTTTCATCCGATTGTCTTCACTAAAACCACTGCATTCAGTAGTAGCTAGACATGGTGCATTCGAGAAATAGCTAGTTTAAAATCAACTAAATCACTCAGAAGGGATTAATTACACTGGGAAGTAGTTCCAGACTCAATAAATGACTGTCAAAGAAATGCAGCACAACCTATAAGCATGATTTCATCAGGTGCAAGTGTTTTTCTGATTTTAGAACACCCACAATAACCACAAACAGATTCACTGTAAGACATTTAATGGTAATTTTTCCACATACCCCTCTATTATACATTTCAGTTTAAGTGCCACGACTCATCAGAGCAACACTGCAGTCTACAAGATTTGATTCAGTGGAGGACTGCGCTACCCTCAAGATCATCCAACATTTGAACATTAGTAGTTTTAGGCTTTTCTATGAACTCATTCATTTAATGCTGCTCATCTTTGCAAAGGGCTTTTATTATGGTTCGGAGAAGAGCATGGTGACACCAAAGTCCTCCTTGTACAGGTCCCACATCCTCGGTTTATGTGGGTTGTCCAGCTCTTCTCTGGGAAGAAACAGCCTGTGGAGGGAATGAAGAGTTCACAGTCAGCACCAACGTCAAAACGGTATAGGAAAACTATCGAGTCAAGAGCTTAAGAAACCATTGCATCAGAGACTTACTTGTTGTCCTCTATGAAAGACGTATTGAACCAGAAGTAGAACGGAACATCTTCGTATCCTTTTGGAAGACCCTAAAGGGAAGGATGAACACAAAGGAGAATCATAGGACACTCGAGCTGAACACCAGCTTTACTTACATGTGTAGTTTGTCGATGTAAATGAAAGCACTCACAGCACTGGACTCAAACATGACTTTCACATCCCCTTCAACCACAGGCCCATTCTGTAGGCTGATGATTGCTTCATTATTGCCCACATCAGGAAATACCTAAAAAAAATAAAAAATATTCACAGGTTCAACAAATAAATATGACCCGATGAGTGCATGTGCTGAGCGTGTGTGACTCACTGTGCAGTTGTCCTGTTTGGCGCACACACACTGAAATACCAGCTCTTTCTTCACAATTATCTTAACCTTGAGATCACTGCCGTCACCTTTACCCACACCTGGGTGAAAGCAAAAAAAAAAAATAAAAGTAGGTATTAACACAGGAACAAAGATATGTAAAGCGTAAAGTTACGTGTTTTTTGCTGGGTTTACCTGCTATGGAGTGGATGCGGATGCTCTTGATCGTGAGGCTTTTAGGTGGAGGCAGCTGTCTGTTGAACTTGGTCTTCATGGTCTCGTAGTAGCCCACGTACCGGCTCTGTGGTTCACACAGTCATCACAGAAAAAAACATTTTCAAACAGAGTCTGTGGTTTTAGAAGGAAAACTCATTAATTTTCTCTTCTGAGAATTCACTCACTGTCTTAAACTGTGAAGATTAATGAGCTTGTAGCTACATGTATGATACATACTGTATGTACATTATATATGGTAAATTATGTTACTGCTAGGGATTGTAGTACCTATTTTGATGATGAAAGTTCCCATGTGTAGAAAAGTGAGTCATCTATTTGTTGCTTTCAGTCATTCATAGTTTAAAAATTCTAGGAGGTGCCAGTCAGGCTTTTTATTCTACACACAGTCCTACAATGGTAAAAGTTCTAGATAAATGCCTCTATTCTATGCATCTTGCTCTAACCTGAGAGGGCGTCTCCACTCCCTGAAACTTGGAGCTCTGACTCTTGTCCGTCCTCCTCTCACCAAAATACTCCAGACTGTCCTGGTGGACAAAACAGAAATGAATATCAGGAAAGGTTTGAAAAGGTTTTGCTGATTCAATAACCCTCGCTTTAACAACTCTCAAACTAAAACAGACGTACCTTTGCACTCTCAAACTGGTCACCGTCAATAAACCAGGTGCACACCATAGTACCTGTGCGACCTGTGAAACAGAGCAGTAGAGGGTAAACTAAGTGTGACATTTAAGCAACTGTACACCAAACTAATGTCTTTGTTCATGTCAAATAATTCACAAAATGACAATGATCTTTGGCCTCACCTTTCCCTCCTTTACAGTGAATAGCAATGATGTTTTTGGGATCAGCAGACATCCACTCCCTCACATTTGCAGTGTATTTCAACATGTCCCTGAGAAAGATACAGTAGCAGACAACAAATTGAGATAAGGTGGCTATTGTACAAGTCGCAATGGTAGTTAGTGATACATCCTGTTTCTGTATGTGTTCAGAATACTTAGTACACATACCTATAATAAGATAAGATAAACTTTATTGACACCACCAATCATAGTGGTTGTGTCTAAAATTTCCATCTAATGCATCAATATCATAACTATAATAACAAAATGCCCTATTGCATATCTGTAATCTAAATTACTTAAGTATAATTACAAAAAAAAAAGGGAGGGGTGGAATAAAAAAAAAACAAAAAAAAAAAAAACAAACACATCACAACAGAAAATGTTACTCACTCCAACGAGGGGACGTTGTGGTCATCAATGAACACCCGTTCAACCTTGTAGTGGAAGAACTGGGGGTCGTAGCCTTTCTCACCTGGAAACAAAACATGAGATTAACTGGCTTTGTGTCGTTCAATGCAGGACATGTGACGAGAGGAGCTGCCAACTTACTGCATAGGTTGTAAACTTTATAGTGGCCTTCATGTTTAGTGTCTAGGAACCTCGCCACCTCCTACACAGAAAGAGAGGAGGAATAGGTTAAGACTCCCGTGGAGGCGTGCGTGTGAATACTTAGAAGTCTATGGGTCTACTTTATGTTGGAAGTTCTTTGTAACAATGGTGCCTATGAATGGATTCATTTTGAAATTGGTGAGTGTAATTAGATTGAAGCTATGTAACCGTGTACCCTGGTTGTGTCAGAATTACCCTGATTGGATTCCTGTAGAATGACTGCTTCCCAGAGGAGGGGAAAGACATGGCGATGACGCGGTCTAAAGAAGCGGGTTAAGATGCAAACAAATGTTCCATTTCTTAAAAAAGGGTGTCATTTTTCTACATGTATTTTTGGCATTACACAGCATGTAACATCTACCTGTGACATAGGTAAGGTCGAGGTCAAAGCCATCCTTTTGATAACGCCGCTTGTTCTCAGAAACCTGAAAAAAAACAACAACAAGTCAACGATCAGGAAGTAATAGACATTTTTCTTCTCTCTTAATGCAAACTCTGTTTCTACACCGTTGCAAAAATCCCTGAAGACTCCAGTGAACTTTACTACATTAGGGGTTCACAGTTTTCTACGCATCCATGGTGACGATCTTACCATCCTCCTGGTGACCTTCTCCAGCTCTTTGCTCTGAGCGGCCAGTCTGAAAACCCTCACCAGGATTATTATTCTCAGGAAACGGAGAAATGTCACCACCCTGATGAAGAATTAATAAAAAAAATGAATCATTAAACAAACATTAACGCCTTAATGGCATAGAGTATAATTTACGTAACATTCTTTTAAGGTACTTAAAAAATACTAATTTTTACTAAACTAAAATATGGCCGATTTTATTCGTAAGGACTGTAGTTTGACGTTAGGCAATATGGTGGACAGATATTACATTAGCATCATCAGTATACCCGAGATGCTAAATATTATTTTTGATGTTCACTGCATTGATTGTATCTCGTTCAGTCTGGGATTAAACCAAATCGTATTTTTCAATGAAACACTACTTGACGTGAAAAGTTTGGATATAAGAATTGTGTATCACAACCTCATAATATAATTAAAAAATAAAAAAGAATCCATTGAAGCATTAGTATTGCCTTTACCTTTGCAACATATTTACAGAAAAAAAAAAAAAAAAAAAAAAAAAAAAAAGAACTTTTTTTGGACTGAAAGGGTCCCCAAATTTTAGTAGCACTATTGTACAGCAGGATTCTTCATCTAGGCTTTTAAAAAATAAAATAGCCCTGCACACCCACACAGGTGTTTTCAATTACCCTGGTGTTTTAGGGTAATTGTTTTCAATTACCCTGCTGTCAGGGAATTACGTGGTGTCCTCAAACTCTTAGGACGGAGGCGTAAATGGTCGCACACCAACAGGTGCAACAAAACCAACAGGAGACTGAGGGAGAAGTTGATTAAGCACAGTTTACACCTGAGAAAAGGTCTAATCAGGCAACATAAGTGAAAACACCTGTGTGGCTGGACTATGAGCATGTGGGTTTATTAAAGCAACAGAACCTCAATTTGAGGATCATTACGAATGAATCTCCAGGTACTAAACATAAACCTTTATACCCAAATCCAAGTATTCCTCCAGACCCCGCAGAGCTTTCAAATTCTTCCATAATTTTATAATTCTTTATTCACCACAATGTCTAACACAAATGTGTGAGCCATTTCTAGTAATAGCTGGGAAAGCAGGTACCTGGGGATGAGGCTGGCTCCTGACAGGTCAGTGAAGGTGTAGATCATGGTGACCACCAGCGTGATTACCACAACACAAGCGTCTACGATGTTCAGCTTGGAGCTGAAGTACACTTTGAACCTATAAAGACACAACATGAGACAATTAACGTGCAAATAATAGTACGTGTCTGAAACTAACATTACTGTAGTAGAAAGTATTTAAATCAGTGATACTCATTATGTTCCCCAAGGAACAGCCCCATACATGCTATACATTTCCTGTGCAGCTTCCTCTTCAGAACTTCCTGTCTAACAGCTAATCACATTTCTGCTGACAGGGGACTCCGGGAATGATTGAGTCACTGTTTTAAACATTTTTTTAAGATTTAGAAGTGGCTACACTCACTCACCCCTCCACGTAGACCCGCACGAGAACGTCAGCGAGAAAGAAGAAGGAGATGGTGAGGGAGACGGCCTCCAAGGCATCTCCAACCTCTCTGCTCTTGGCGGGCAGGGATAAGTCCACAATCACCAGCACAAAGTCCACGAGGATCAGTATCACGCCAAATATACTGGACGAATAGACAGATAAACTTAATAACCATCAAACACTACCAGGCAAGTAATACTCATCATTGGCAATTGTGCTCCAAAAGAGTTCCCAAAGCAGACTTACCGAAATCCAAAGGACATAACAAAAGGTGCTATCTTCTTCCGGATATTGCTGCAAAGGATAAAAGAAAGTTTGCCACTAAATATGCTCCTTCTGAATATAAGTGTTGTACACAAAACTGTAAAAAAAAAAAAAAAACCTTAAACTTACTGATACATTGTGTCTGGGACCACACTTTCATCCTTTCCATCGTCAATCTCAACTTTAGCATCCTCCATCTTTGCAATATTTCTAATAGATAGAGATAGATAAACATGATAACAATCCTCCCAAAATACAGGCCGAAGAAACAACACCACCATCGCCACACTCGCATAAAAAAGCAACAGCAAACATGACATTCCTCACCCATTTACACCTGAATCCGACCCTGGACTGAAATAGACAGAGGACATGATGTGTGAGTCTTCCTTATTGCTGTGGTCTGAGCGTGTAGTTTCTGCGTTTGAAAACAAGAGTGTTGAACGATTATTAAACTTCCTTATTCGACATGTTGCTCCAAAGTCAGTGTAAAACAGAGAGAGACAAAAAAAACGTGTTAGTGCCGTCCTGGTTATAAAATACTGCACCTTTGAAAGAAAGACAAACACTTCAATCAAACTTCTAATCAGCATCCAGGAGTGCATTAGTGCTTCCCAGAACTAATCGAGCAACCAATGTGCTGATTAAGGCACAGCCGATGATGCAAAACATACAAGCAAGACATGTGCAAATTGCTTAAGAAAATGAGGAACCCACAATGCATTATTACCTTTTTAAGAAAAATGAAAAGCACAGGATTTAACCACACAAACCACCCGTTGCAGCTCCTCTGTGCAGAGAGCCCTCCCGCAACTGTTTGTTTATCCGTTTAAACCAAATTACAGCAGTCGCCCAGAAACTAGATACACCCTCGCCGCTTGCTTACCGTTTGGACTGTCATTCGTGAAATGATACGGGAGTTTGTCTTGTGACTTCTCCTTGTGGGGACAAAGGAAGACGGTTCAAAGGTTAACCGGGTAGATTTGTTTTCTCTCTCTCTCCGTCCACTCTTGGTTTTTTTTTTGCAAACGTAGCGGTTTCGGACTTCCTGGAGCTCAGTGAAAAACGCACAGCCCCTTTTTTCTTTTTCCTCGTTACTCTTTACTCATCTTTCCTTCTCAGAACCTCTTTGACACGAAAACTGACCGAGCCTGACCGTAACCGTCCTGTGAGGAGCTTTTCTAAAATAAACCTTAAAAGGGGCTACAGCCTCCCTCCTCTCTGTAACATCTGGTTGTAATTAAACGCGCGTTCAAAGTCTAGCTGCAAACGTATGAAGTTAGAGGTCTGACAAAAAGCATTGCTTTTTATTTGCAAAAACATGTAAATAATTTGCATTTGTGGAAATATATATTTTTTCAGTTTAAAAAAAGTCCAACTTTGGCAAAATTCCAGGGAAATCCTAAATTAAAGGTAAAAGAGACTGCAGTCTGAGATAGAACAATAACCGGTAGGCTACACCAGTATGTAACTGACTCTTTTGCACTTTTAATTGTTCTGTTCAAAACCAGGGTCATGGTGGAACAATACATATTCAAAACAGACAAAAATGACGTGGTAAATAGATGGCCAACGATAAATTCATGTTAATCAAAATTAATTCGATTAAATTACGTTATATATGTATATATATATATCAAGTAATAATTTAAAAAAATATATATATATATATATATATTTCAAATATATATATATATATTTACCACCGACTACAAACAATAGGGGAGCCATATCTACTGCCTACCCAGGCAGTGAATTGAAGAACTATTCGCTTTTCTTTGTTCTTGGTTGCTGAACCCTGTGTTTTTTTTATATCTCCTTTTTGCATGTGATTATTGTCCTAATGCTTTTTTTCTTAACATGTAGCGTATGTATGGGCGATTTTTGAAAGCTTGTTCAACACATGTTCAACTGAACCCACTGTATAAGGGTCACATTGATTTCTGTTTAATGAAGACAATATGTCCTTAGGGAGTAATCTGGCAGAACATGGATGTATATATATATATATATGCACATTTTTAGAATGATTTTATTTATCAAATTTTGAAAGGAAAGAAAATATGAAAAATACAAAGGGCAGCACTTCTGCTATTTAAGAAATGGAGTCCTCTCAACACATTCTGTCCATGTGGACATTTGCAGGTCTGGGATCAGCTACTCTTCCCAAATATTGTTGATGGAGAAGGTAACTGGCTGGAGTTCATGGTTTGGCAAGGTTGGTCGAGTCTGGATCCTCTAATGTGGACCATGCAGAACCGGCCCAGCCTATAAATAATATACTGACATGTTTTTCAGAGGAAAAGAACACTGAACCCAGAGCAAACAAGGGAAGACTTCGTGAAATGAAGGTAGGCTTGTGCTGCAGATACTTTGAAGAAAGTTTGAAGAATTGTAGTATTTGTTGTATCTTATTGTGTTTAAAATTTCAGACTGATATAGCAGCAAACGACTTTTTCCTAAAAGTCATGGCAGTGCTGCTGTTGTTGGCTCTGGTGTGCCCAACCTTGGCCTCTTCTACACCGTTGTCAGTATGTAGCTTATCCTATACTCGTTAAGGGCTTCAGCATCTTTATTTTTGTATTGACATAGAAAATGGACAACATTTGGTTCAAAAAGCATAAATTGCAGGCAGGGCTGTAAAATAACTATCATTCCTAGAAAGTCCAGAGAGTCAATAAAAGTGTGTTTCATAGATGTCTGCTGTAGGTGCGGCCCTATGCTTTTGCTGGCCCCTCTAGTATTAAAACAAGGGTAGAAATGTCATGTTTAACTTGAAATCAGTTTTCCTCATTAAAGGCAGTGGAATCGTGCGGGCCAGAGGTGGCAGCTCTCAAGCGCAGCATAAGGAAACTGGAGAATAAACTCTTGATCGGGAATTGGCAGGTTGAGCACTTGCAGATGCACAAATACATCCGGCCATTTCAACCTGCTTCGGCTAATACTAAACCTGAAACTGACACAGTCACTGTTGTGAACCACAACAGCAGTGGGGCATTAGACAGCTCTGATATGACACAGATTAAACCACTTCCACCTGGAGGCAGTTTGATTGTCTATGACAAAGGTAAGCAAAGCTCATATAAGTGTTTGGGTTTATTTTAAGTAAGAGTTTGGAACATCCAATATACATAGCCTACATTTCATGAAATAATGATATATGTTCATAATATGCAACATGAAGTAAGTGTATTATGAGATACAATGGTGAGGATGATAATCAGCTATCTTTAAAGCCTTTTCAATGCTTTCTTTCTAGACTGCTCTGAGCTGTTTGACAGACTGAGACCACCAAGCGGTTACTACCGCATCAGACCCAAATTACACCAGGAACCTTTTTTGGCCTACTGTGACATGGAGGATGGAGCAGGCTGGACGGTGTTTCAGAGACGTCGGCATGGAAAAGTTGACTTCAACAGGTATTTAAAGCAAAGAAACTAGCCTACGTACAGCATATGGGGATATTATATATCTCAAAATCCTTGCAAACAGTGCAGGTGTTGTGTAGGTGAATTTCCACAGTTGTTGTGAGGTCATATATATCTGCCTAATTCTCATTCTAGAGACTGGGTAGACTACAGAGATGGCTTTGGTGACTTCAAACTGTGGAATGATGAGTTTTGGTTGGGGAATGAGCACATGTATTCCCTACTCTCAGAAGGTCAGAAATTATTTAACTCCCAGAATCTATTTTTACAAGCAGTATTTTATTTTGAAATATTTTTTTCTGTAATGTTCTGCCTGGTTTGCTGTTTTTTTTTCTTCTCATTTCTTGCCTGTATTTCTTTGCCCTGAAGGTAAGAACCTGGTGAAGATAGATCTAATGGACTGGGATGGACAGAGAAGTTATGCATTTTATGAGAACTTCAAGATCTCCGATGAGGCCGTAAGATAAACCGTTTTACAGTTCTGTTGGTCTCAGAAGTAACTGTGATTCCCAACAAACATCCCTTCCCTTCATGCCTATTCCAGGATAAGTATCGTCTCCAGTATGGGCCGTATAGTGGGAAAGCTGGAGATGCTCTGACTGGTGGTGGGGGGATGGTGGAGCAGTGGTCTGCTTGCCTCAGCGGGATGCAGTTCAGCACCAGAGATCAGGTTAGTCATCTATCCCCTTTTACCAATATATCATGTCATAATGACAATGGATATAATTACTGTGATAACAGTGATGATGGTCATCAACAGGACAATGACCGCTACCTTCAGGGCAGCTGTGCTGAGGAGAATAAGGCAGGTTGGTGGTTCAACAGGTGAGACTTTTTAAATAAAACCTAGTGTGTATCACTATTGCTCTGTGCGCTATCTTCCTTCTGCTTGCATTTTGCACAAGCATGACCACATTTCTGAAAATACAGTTTGAGTTTCTGTACTGAGTTTAGTTCTGCCTGTTTTTTTTTCAAACAGTTTGAAACACTACATATACATGAAGATATGTAGTGAATTTCTTCATTTTGTCTTCAGGGAAATGTAGCATCCTTGACATTGTGTACTTACCTTTTATCTGTAGATGTCATGCAGCCAACCTAAATGGGAAGTTCTACCGCAAAGGGAAGTACAAGGGCCTGCATGACGATGGGGTGGTGTGGGGGACCTGGAAAGGCCTTTGGTATTCCCTCAGACACACCACCATGAAGGTGCGGCCTCTGGTTTTCTTGGACGTCGCAGGCAGTGGAGCAGGGGAAATGTAAAAATGACTTGGTTTCATATTCCCCTGTGTGATTCAGAATGAAAAAAAAACGAGGGCAAAGACTGATGTTGTGTTTAATTTCTTTCTATTTGAACTTCAACCATTGTTCAGTCATTTGAAACCATAATCAAATGTTGACAGTACAGTATCTTCTATTTTCCACTAAGCAATGCTTTCTATGAAGTGTATAAAATTACTCAAACAATAAAACAAACGGCAACTCAGCCACAATGCCTCACTGATGTTAATTTTTGACTGTCCTCAAACACAGTTACAACTGCATACTGCTGTTCTGACTTCTGAAAAATTGTTGACGTTGCTTATGTCACATAGAACAATGTCACTTCAGAGTGAGAGTGACTTTCACAACAGCACAATGTTATACAGTGGGACTTCACAGCATGATAAAATAAGCACATTCAGCAATGTAGAACAAGAAGACTAACCTGTCTTCTGTGCTGTTTTGAATGCTGTCATTGGAAGGGCACATATGACTTATTGTGGTGAATACTGTACCAGTAGTTGATACATTAAGAAACACTCTGAAGATAGTATATGTTAAATTATAATGCATATCCAATTTAAAAAATTAAATAATTCCAATAAAAAAAAATTTAATGGAAAAACGTTTTTTTGAAATAGAAACTTAAATAGCTTTTCAAAAAATAAAATTAGATGTTTTTCTCTCTCCCTTATATATAAGCAAACTTCCAAAATCTCAAACATACAATACAATCTTCACTGATATGTGTGTCTGTGTTAGGATCAAGTCACAGATATGGCAGAGAGGATGACGCTAAATTCCTCCCTGGTGCAGTACTACAAACATCTAGTCCTCTTCGCCTACATATGCTGAGGACAGATCTAGGTCCAACATCCTCTGCTCTGCCTCACTCAGCCTGTAGGGCGAGCCGCCACTGCTGCTGTAGCCTCCAGACATTGGCAGAGAGTGGCAGCGGCCTTTCCTCTGCTCCGAGGGCGATACACTAAAGGTGGAGCTGCGCTGCCGCCCCTTGACCCCAGAGTACGACTGAGCCTCCTTCAATTTCCGGGCCAGGATGTTCCTCTGGATAGGCGATGGGCCACGACGGTTCCAGTTCTGCTCAGCACGCTCTGCGCGATCCACACTCAGGCTGACGGGCCCCGTGGCTGGACCCCCGATCCCCGAGATTCCCTCTCCGCCTCCCGCCTCACCACTCCTTTGCCTGTCCTGAGCGCCACCGACTTCTGCTTTGGCATGTTTCTCAGCTGCTGAAATGCTGTTTGTGTTGGTTCCTGTGTGTTTGAGCTCATTGCTGTGAGAAGGAGCAGCTGTCTCTATCCAGGGCTTCCTCTGCTCATTTCTCTTGGGTCTGGATTTAGCCCACTCTGGGGCCCCGTGCTCTGGAATGGGGTAAGAGCTGTACGGCTGCCTCTCCCATCCTCCTTTATTCCAACAACTTCCTTCAGGAAGGGTCCGAGATCCAACCTGAAAAGGACAATGTATAATCTCTGTTAATTAAGAAAATATGATCTACAATACATATATATGAACACATAAATAAAGCTGGATAGTTGACCTGGGTCATGCTCCTTTCTCTGAACTGTCTGGAGTGTACAGAGGATAGAGGTTGGGGTTTGGTGTCGTTAAAACTGGAGGTCCGGCGGAAATTTGGATTCTTATTAAAGGAATTTCTCATTCCTGCTTCTTCTCCTCCTCCTCTTCCTCTGAGACCAACTAACCCACTCCTCTCTACCATCTCCACCCAGTCAGCAGTGCGGTCACGCCATTTTGAGCTGCCCCCACTTGCATGAGCAGAGGGACCTAAGACGAGTTCCACTCTGGGACTCAGTCTGTCCGGCGGGACCCTAGAAGTCTGCGATGGCAGCTCAGAAAAGCGAGTTGCAACCCGAAAATGATTGTGGTTAGCGTCGTCCTGGAGGCCCACGGGGAGTATGGGATGAGTCAATCCACTTGGCGTAGGAATGGGGGAGTTTGTGGGTGAAGCAGATGTCCCTAACACGGTGTCATGGACAGGGCTGGAAGAGACATGGTACAGCTGTGTTGCCTCTTTTAACCCTTTCTTCTTCATTGCTTTCAACTGCTGCTGAGCCAAATGGTACCTAGAGAGACAATATTGTTATTTCTAAGACTGGGGGAGTGACAAAAGGTTTGACGATAATGTTCGCCAGTGATGAAAGTAAAGAATATTCTAAACATACCCAAATATTGGTGGCAGCACCTTCTGACCTGTGGGTGACAGCCTTTCTTGTTCCTGTGAGAGAGGTACCACCAGGGTCTGTGAGAGAGGCTGACTGCTCAGGGAAGGCCTGTCTATCTGGGCTACACCCACACCCGTGCCCCCCGGTTGGCCGTGGCCGTCAGACAGGCTGGGCCTCTGGAGGCTGTGGCCACAAATGGACGCCTCGTCGGAGAGCTTGCGTCCCCCAGGGGAATGCATGGAGCCTCTGCGGACAGAGCTGCACTGAGGGGTCTTGCAAAGCTTTCTCCACAAAGTCACCAGAACAGTAGCCAGAATCACAGCCAGGCAGAGGGAGATACCGACCACCACCACCATGTTACCACCCAGGGGGGCAACTCCGACAGCCACGGGGGGGAGGGATGGAGAAGGAGCGGGCACCACTGGGAACAAGAAAAGGGAGACAGTTATGTAAATGGTATGCTCCAAAAGCACATCTATTTTTTTTTTTTTTTGACGAGGAGAAAGATGACGAAATTTGAGAAAGTGAAAATCAAGGGACAGAGAGAGTGAGGGATGAAAAGACTGACCAACACAGGCCTCCAGCGAGCAGAGGGACTGTTCCTTCACCATGCCAGTGCACTGCATCCCTCCCGCACCTGAGGGCAGCAAACACTCACGCACTCGTTCCCTCACCCCCTCTCCGCAGCTCACACTGCACACACTCCACGGCAGCCACGGGCCCCTTGACTCTGCAAAAAAAACAGATTGGCAAAAAAGTTTTAATTGCAGATAAATTAGTAAGTGTGCAAGCCTTAATTATGTGCTGTTAATGTGAATGTCGTGCAATGCTGGGATCATTTTGAGGGAATAAAAAGCCAGTAGAAATATAGCAAATACATGGAGCTGAAAAAGACGCAACCATCATATCACATGACATCGACCAGTTAATGCTTCATCCCCAAAATAGACAAAGCGAGGACACACAGCGACAAAAGCATCTGACTATATTTAGAATGTGACAATTCAACGGTTTATTATCTAATTGGTAAATGGCCTTAAAGTTAGTGCTGCCTAATGTGTATATATATTTGCTGGTGTTGAACATTATAATTTCTTATAAATGACTCAGTTGTGTATCTGCACACTGAATAACAGAATGATGAGTTATGTGCTGAGGCTGACACTTCAGTGTGATGTGACATTATGCACTGTGGTATTAGTTACACTGGGATGCATGGGAATGTACAAGAATAAAAATAGTGGCACGGCCCGTCAGCTGTAGTTTACGATGCCTATTTTCTGCATTGTGGTGATATGCTTTGTTGGCACTGATTTCATGTTTTTTTTATATTATGATGTTCCGTTTGCACACTGCATTTTCACAACATAATAATAAACGATTTCAACATAGCTCTACATCTGAACACACAGATATTGTGTGATCTTGTTATGCTGTTGAGACGGATTAGGTCACCCTCCACCTCGAAAAACTAAAAAAAGACTATTTCAGTCATGCCTTAAAATAGTCTTTATGTTTGCTTCTAAAAGTTTGAAAAACAATCTTATGAGGCTGTCATCTTATTTTTTCATAATGCAATGTTCAATCTCAACAGGATGTTGCTATTTATAGATATTAAATGACAGTGTGACAGTGAGCAAGCAGACACAACATCAGGACCCAGAAACCAAAGCAGCTAAATGGAATTAAGCCATCATTCATTTTCCTTTTCACACCTGTGTTTTTCTTACTTTGGCCGGTCAAACATGTCATCTATGAAAAAGGCCCTTTGCCTACTCCTTAATGGTGCCATCCCTTAACTAATGACTGAGAGAAAAGTAACTCCTTCCCTCCAGGTTTTAAGAAAATCACAGTGTAAATGTATTCTTGGCAGGTGCCAAATGTGCATCTGTCGATCTATTACATCTCACCTGCACTCCTGTGAACCACCAAACAGGTCTGTGCAGGGCTCGGGGAGCGACTGAAGTTGAAAACAAAGCGAAAGCAGTACTTGTTCCTTCCAGTGTAAAACACAGAGCAGTTGAATTCTGTCTCGTTCTCTCCCTGGGTCAGCCAGTTGAAAGCCAACAGAGGTGAAGGGGGCTCCTCTGCTCCAAACCCCACCAGTGCTGTTTCACCTGCCTCCATCCCCGAGGAACCCGCAATCCCTCTCCCAACACCTGCATCCTTATACAGCAATACTTTCCCATTGATGTGAGCACAAGGTGGGGTTATCAGTTTAACAGTCATAGTCCCTTCACAACCACTCCTGTAAGCGTTGGTATTTTCCACCAGCAGCTTATAGGAGAAGATGCGGGACAGGTAGAGCGGTCCAGAGCTCTTCACATCCTGTGTTGCGTGAGGAGATCGTAAAGCCACTTGTATGAAGTCTCTCTCTGTGAAGGGGAAGGCGCAGGACAGCTCAACACTCTGGGAACGGAGGGGTTTGATTGGGTGTCGCGTGCGGGCTTGGACCTTGTCGATGCTGATTCGCCCTATCTGGTTGTACTCCATGTAGCTGACTTCTAAGAAGAGAGCCGAGTCGGTGCCGCTGGAGCAAGCCTGAAAGTGTTCATTGGTGGATATCCCAACCTGGAGAGAGAGAGAGAGAAGAAGAGACGTATGGATCAATCTGGTCCTCATTAAACCTTAGTGTTTAAAGTTTGAGATCTTGTTTGTCTTGCCTGAAATGATCCTGAGTGGTTACCGGCCCTGTCCACAGCGATGTGAAAGGTGGGCCACTGCACCTGCAGTTCTGAACTCCACCACCAGGTAGTGCTCTCCGCGCTACTGCCGTGTGTGCCATTAGCACGAGAAACAGCAGTGATGCTGGTCTGCCTCAGCAGGAACCGGAAAGTTCCTGCATACAGGAAGCAAGAACAGTTGAACTCCACCCTACTGGCCGATTGGATGTTGGGGATAGTCCTGGTCAGAAGGGTGGTGTTGGTTTCCGTGTTGACCAGCGAAAGGCTCGTGTTGCGGATGGTGCTGCTGTTGGATTTTGTGCTGAAGTCCACAAATACACTGGCGTTGCTGAGGGCAACGTGGAAGGAGGGCCAGATATTGAGCCCTGCCAAAGCTACAGGGAAGGATGAAAAGGAGTCACATAAAGCAAAGAGACCATTTCACCTATTGTTCATGCATCGTGCACAACAATCTGCTGCATTTTTTACATCTGCTTTTTTTTTGTCTTTGTTTGTCTTGATGTGACTTTGCAAAGCTGACTGCTACTGTGGCCATAGAGGTGTGTTTGTGACTCAGTTTTCTGCAGTGAGTCATTAACATGTTCTATAATTGATACAAATATCTGTTTAGGTGGACAATATGTTAAGTTGTAATGTTTGGGCTGTATGGTAGTAAAATGGGAACATTTCTAGTTGACACACATTTTAGAAATCAATCTGGGAGAAATATGCTATGTGTCACTTTTGACAACATAATAAGTGTGCATCATGATTTATGATACCAAAATCCCATGCACAGTTATCTAACAACAAATGATGTACAGGCCTATTGACATACGGTATTTCCCATGTCCAGGTGACATCCAGTTAAATTGCAATAGGCCTATCAGCATCCAGAGAAAAAGTCAAAATGTTGCCGCACAGTTGCACATTATTTTAAGAGCTATTGTGTCGTGTTGTGTGTAAATCCTGTTGTGAAAACCTCACATCCTCACAAAGCACAGAGGGTGTGGGAAGAGGAAGAGGCTGACCCGACATTACACCCTTCGTTCCTCTGCCTTTTTTTTCCTCCAGGGTGGTAGAGCACATTTAAGTTAACATGTGTTTGCTTGATCAAGTGAATAAAAAAAAAATCAATGATCCTGCCAGCCTTTTCAAACATGCAGTCGTGTTAGATTGTTGTTTGGGGAGACTCACCACATCCCATGAGTGCCAGCAGAAAGGGCAGCAGTGAGACAGCCTGTGGCATCCCGATGTCCGTGCCTCGGTTTTCTCCTTCAGCACATGACCGTCCTCTTCCACCATCCCTGACCTCTACAAATCAGAGGCAAATCACAAAGTGAACAAAAACCTAACAATCTACAAGAAGGCAGCAGGCAACAACCAATAGTGGTTGTGGGCATCATCAGACAGAATGAGGCTTGGAAGATGCAGTGCACTGATCTGAGGTAAAACAGGAAGGCTGGAACATAAAGCTCTGACCATGAGTTTTTTTTGGGATTAACAGTGGAGACTCTTCCTTCCATCAGCAGACAAGCAGTCCATAACAAATATTTATGAAGGAGAGCCCAATCCTTGTTTGGTTGCTTTTAAAGTTTTCACTTGTTTCTCTGCTGTGTCTTTAGACAAACAAGAGACGTTCTGAGAAACAATTGTTCTGGCACCAGGCTGCTGCCTGTATTTCACACTCCCATTCAAATCGTCAAATTGGGTTTGCTTTGCACATGCATGGACCATAGACTGTATATAATAAGCATAGACTAAACAGGTTGCATTTACTTAAATTAGTACATTATGCTACTTGAACGCATCGTGGCTGGGTCAAAAGGTTTGCCTAATATTTATTCTCAGGTGAAGAGTTTAATAGTAATCTCCTTTATACTTATCTCAAATGTATCTGCCACCAGGAAGGCTGAATATATATGTTATTTATTTTCAAAATATTATAAATAATACATGTTAAATATAATTTAACTGCGGATATGATTCTAAACCTGGGTTTTAACATAGGCTAGTGCTTAGACCTAAAGTTTAACATCTCGGGCACACAGCGTTCATAACCCTCATTGCTTTTAGCTGGAAAGTAGAGCTTTTGTACTCACATTTGTTGTCGACTCAGCACAGCATAATTCACCTCCAATTTTCCAACACAGCAAATGACAACAACAGTCCCTCCACGTGCTGGTAAAACTTGTTTTTTTTCGACTAATAATCTACTAATAATCACATGTCAGCGGGACCAGCGTCAAAGACCCAACTGAGTTCTCAAAAGGCGCGCGCCGGTGTTCAGAGCGCGTGAGAGATCCGCTCACAGTCACTTCACGGTCAGCAGCAGGGCGGATTGAATATTATCCGCAACCGACTGTCTGTTTCTTCCTAGAAACGTAAGGCACAGTAAAGACAACGTAGGCGACTGTGCAGCGGTGAACAAACCAATAAGCTATTTTATTTCAGAAAGAAATTCAGAGGTAAATATGAATGAAAAACATTTTTTTATCCAACAATCACCTTTTAATAAGATGCGTGACCCGTTTCTCATATTTACTTTTTAATTGTTTTCACAGGAACATTATGCAAAATTAAGCTAAACTATTCACTAGCTTGGAAGTGGTTCTTACTATTGTGTTCTGAACTTCTGTGATCAAATTGTTAGATATCAATTTCCAAAATATTGGTTCTCAAGTAGCACATGGAAAAACCCATGAAGCATGTTCACAATCAGGTTAATTTATACAAGAGGATTTTTGTTACAGGAAGGGCCAAAAGCACAAATGAAACACCCTTTCCTCTCCTGGCAGTTTACAAATTGCATTATACTGTATGAAAGAAATAAAGATATTGTTGTTATAAAGATATTGTTGGCAGCTGGGTCATCAGAAAAACTGAGGAAAGTGACTACATGGAGAAATATGTGAGATCCAACAGATGGATCTATAAATCCCTCCTTCAAGAGGCATTCACAGATGAAAACAAAATGTGTATGAAGATGTTGTAGATTGTCTAAAACGAATCTCATGATAAAGTCATATGGAAAATCAAGACAGGATAGCATTGTGTATCTCAATCAGCCCAGGAGGCAGGGTAACAAAATAAAACATTCTATTTAATTTAGTCATGACAGTAAACAGAAGAACTATTCATCACAAACAATCAGACGTCCCCCCCACAGATGACACTCATCATGGATTCACTTAAAATGTAGTGAAGTTGAGTGAATCCATATCAGCATGCAGGAACAGGACCTATTTTGTCTTGGTAAATTTTCACAAAAAGTTCTAAATGTCATGCATGAATCTTAAATCATTACGATCAGTGCTGCCTCACTGTAACTCTTGAAACAAGGAGGTATATGATATATACATGGCAGGGTAATCTAATCAGCTGTAGCGCTGAGACCTTCACATTTCCTGAAGAGAGAGAGAGACAGCTGAAAACAGGAAGCGTCTGAAAATGAAACACCCTTTACTGTTCAGGTCAGTTCACAATGGGAACAAAGAACTGTTTATTCTGTGTGTGAGCAGCTCTATAAGGACACACACACAGATTAGACATTATTGTAACAATCTCAGCAGAAAGCATAACTTTTAGACCAGATGGGATTTATTACAATATGCTCCCATCTCACACATCCATTATTACTTCTGCGGTTACCCTTTATGTGATTTACTGTGAGTAGACATGGTAATGTGATTTTACAAGAGCATTTATAGGGTGCTTACCTTCCAGTCTGCCTTCAAAACGGTCACAACTGGCCTTTCTACAACATAACCTCTGCAATGAAAGGATTAATTGGCTGAATAATGACATTTGGCATCGTGCCCTATTTTTTTTCCACTGTGAACTAAACTAACAGCAGATCAGGCATTTTATTTTAGCTTCCTTATCTTCCTTTCTTGAATGTTTTCTAGACAAAAGTTGTTACATTCAAGGACAGTTTGACTTGAGAAGGAAATACATGAATCCCGTTTTAAAGGACAAGATGAAAGGTGAAGTAGGGTTTTTAAATTCATTGTAACTTGAACATCTGGGCATGTTCACTCCCTCCTCAGAAGACGAGACAGCATGACAAAGCTTCATTCCTTGTTCATTTATTACAGAAATGTACATTTCACTTTGGAAAACATGTAATCACTCGCTATGGGCCTTTCATAACAATCCATACTTGTTTTGTAAAAAATAAGTATACGCTTTGCGTCACAAGAATGTGTGAAGAAAATGTTCACTGGATATCCCATTATAGCAATTTTCCCAAACCTATTCATTACTAAATGCACATGATGATCACTCCATCAAGCAGAGCAGATCTGGGAACACTTTGCTGCATGGACAGTATTTGAGCAGTTTCTGGAAAAGTATCTCTTTGACAAACTTTCAAGACAGAGTCGAGCTCTCAGACCTAAAGAGAAGATAGCTGGCAGTGCCTAAGGTGGATTTGCAAAGATCTACCACAAACAGAACACCAACCGTTAAAAAATCATGACCAGACTGATTAGGTACATTGTGCAGCGGTACACTCATGTAGTGGCAATGCATTAGTCTATCAGCAGAGACAGTGCTGCCCACTTGAAGTTGTTTTTTTCCTTTTTCAGCAACAATGACTGTGAGCAGGTCAAAAGAGGTTCGGGTAGAATCTCAAACCCTCAACAGAGTCATCTCTACACAGGTGGCCCACCTTCTCAGCCAGCAACAACCTGGAGACAGAGGAAGGAATAGAGAAGAGAAGAATAGCTAAATGAGAAACAAAGACAACTGTGAACGTTATAACATGGTGTCGTAAAACAGATCGCCTGTATCATCTGTACCGATGAGATTCACAACTTACCGTTCTTTAGAGAGAAGAACAGAGAGACCCAAGAGCTTTGCAAACTCCTCTGCTGTCAAGGAGCCTTTGTCGGACACCTGAAGAAGAAAAAAAAGATGCCGAGACGTGGAATTAATTACAAACTTTGAACCTAAAGGCAACTGTGACTTAAGATATATAGCCAAGACAGCATGCTGCTTGATCCGTCTAAAGCGTGTCAATGTCAGTATGATGTTTGTAATGGTAAAGCTTACATTGTCCAGAGCTGAGGCTATCATTTCCTCTTCGCTGTGAGACTGCAGCTGGACCACCATCACACCACTGTCAAACACACGCAGCCTACACAGAGGACAAGATGGATGAAGGAAACAGTGTGTGTGTGTGTGTGTTTGTGTGTGAGTGTGAGTGAGAGAGAGAGAGAGAGAGAGAGAGAGAGAGAGAGAGAGAGAGAGAGGGGGGAATGATGTTTTATGAAGCTAATATAAGGAGCGCTGGCTGAAGAACAGCAACCAGTTTGCGGGTACTAGGACCAGCGTGGTGTTGGAAGTGACAGGAAATGACAGTCGCAGCGGTCTGGACAATACACTCCAACAACAGGAAGTCAGACAGGAAGAGCCTGGCCTCTGGGATATAGTGTAGGCGTCAACCCTGCACTACATAACACAAAGCCTGATCTATACATATATGAAAGAGGGCAGCGATAAATCAAACAATACAAAGACAAACACAACTCACCTCAACGGGAGCTGCAACGACTCAAACATCTTGCAGGCGTTTACCAAATCTTCTGGAGATAAAAGCTGAGCAAAGGGAAAGAAAAGTGACCCCTGTGCCTGACACCAAAGACCTTTGTGTGTAGTGAGAATGTATAGATAGAAAAGCTGTGTATTATTAGTTCAGCTCGAGTGAACATACATGGGTATGCCCACTCAAGTACGGTTCAGTGTTTCTGTGTGTGCATCTGTGAGCATTACCTCCATCCCTCTGGCACGGTTGACGAGACAGTACACCTCAGTGAGAGCCATCATACCGCCACGCTCCTGAGAGAGGGCAAGAGTAATGGAGTCAGAAAATGGAATAGAAGTAGATGACTAACATTAGAGTTTGATCTTCGGTAGATGTAAATCACACCAACCTCCAGAGGAGCCTGTAGCATATCTCCCAGCTGCTTAGCTAGCTGCAAATGGTAATGTGTACCTGATCCATGCGTTTCTCTGGTCACGGGGTCAGCGATACCCATGCTCAGCAGGTAGGACTTAAACCGAATGGTCTATAAAGCAGAACAAAACTGTTAATAAAAAGCAAAACTACTTGGAAAAAATATTGTGGGTAATCACAACATCAGTTGTGTGAGTACTTTATGATTAGTTATTGCTATATGTACAGTAGTTTGAAGCCACGCCCTCTTGTTTCCGTGTCTGATTATGCTGAAGTTCCTACCTCATCTTCTGAAATGTCTCCCTGCTTGTCTTTGATCTTGTTGGCTATAGATCTGGACAGCTCCACCATCTCCTTGGCCTGTTATTTAAAGTAGACAATCACTCAGCAAATCCCACCGCATAGCCGTATATGAGCTGAACACAGGTTTGATATCTATGGCTATGATGTTTGAACATAAGAAGAAATAATTCTGTATTAAATCAACAACTACAGTAAAATATGAACATACAAAGGAAAGCATTCTTTACCTTCACCATCAGCTTACTGAGATCCTCAAAGGCCTGGAAAAAAGAGACTAAATGTGTAATTCGCAATTTTCACAATTAAATAAACCACAAAAACTTCATGGCTACATATATAATTGAAATATCATTCCACAAAAGCCCCGCCCAAAAGTGAACATTCTCCCTAGCGCTACACCCATAACATTATTTTCATTAAGCTACATATATGTCATTTTTATTTCATTTTATTGTATTCATATTCAATAAATACCAACTGAGGTTGCATAAACACATAACGTCATGGATGCCTCATGAAAGTCACAGTGGCTGTGGTCAGCTTGATTTAATGACAGTTACAATAAATTCCCATGGTGACAAGTTTTTGGCAGAAAAAAAAAAAAAAAGACAGCTCTTGAACTAAACCACTCTGTATCCTCAGTTTGCTCACAGTCATTTCCATAAAAATATGGCTAAATAAACAACTTCATCTGGGAGCTTTGAGGAGACACATTTCTCAGTATTTCAGTATTTTTGCTCGACAGTACCTCAGAAATATTTTTGTCTGTTTCTTTCCTCTTCTCCTCTATCTTCCTCTCAATGCCAACAATCCCCACGGCACGTGTTCTTCCTGCCTGCGTGACCACAAAGGAAAGAAAAACACACGTTCTGAAACACACACAGGCACTTTAATAATAGAAGCCTGAACGGAAAGACAAACAGTGAGGAGGGAACAAATTGTGGTCAACTGCTGCTACGGTACATAAATCAATTCTAGTGACTCTGACTTCTTAGTGTTTATCAAAAATTGATGGAATCTCATTTAGAGACACATGACCTAATACAAATGAAAGGACAGAGTTTAACGGCTGACACAGAAGTTTATTTTTACTTTGGTGTGAGTGCTGCTGTGGGACAATGTACTTAAATTGACGTCAATGCCAATTTCTACCAATTGAGCAATACGTGTCACTATTATATATTGGTGAATAAGGCAGAAGAAGTTATGACTAGGCCGATAATATAGACAAGCCCATAAATATGGTGACAACACTGCCATCTTGTGGTACATAAATTGAATTGATAGGCGTGTCATTCCCATGTACATCACCTAATAAAATGCTGAAAGGCAGTTTGGCTTTTAAGAGTCTAACCGGATGAGAAGGAGCATCTGTTCAGCTTCTAACCTGAGAGCCGGTTCCTGTGGGGATGGGCAGTGACGCTGGCGTATTCTCCCATCTCTTCTGAATCATTTCTTCTGTTAGCCTCCTGTGAAACTGCAAGCAAAGGACACCACGTCAGTTCCCAGCAGTAAAGAGTCTCACTTAAGAATGCTCATTAAGAGATGAAAGGGTAAAGCAAAAAGCTCTTTTAACTACTTGTATGAGTGGCACTACCTCAATCTGCCCGTGTTCTTTGAAGGACAGCTTGATGAAGGAGTACTTGCTATGTTGGTAGGGACCTGGCTCCTTGTTGGCAGGTGTTGCATGCAGGTGGATAACTATTTTTGCACTACAGGATAAGAGATGCCAATAGTTAATTCACCATTTACTTCTTTTAAATTAAAATTATTATCAACATTTAAAAAAAATTCTCACTTAAGTTCCACTTACTATTTTTTCCCAGAGCTTTCAACTGCAGGGAGCTATGATATTCTCCCCAAATACAACTACCAGTTATCACACGACCAAAGCTCCATACTTTATTCATGTTATTACAACAGAGCCCTCTTAACAACAAGAAGCATTTGCCAGCTCCAGAAAAAAAGCTATTAAATGAACCCTGACCAAGGGTTTTGGGTCAAATTACACATTTAGGTATAAAAACACACTATTTTGTTGTTTGCTAATTTCTTAATGTAATTCTGAAAGCCTACTTCTCATTTCTGTTCATATTTCTGTGCCCAACACAAGATGTATTTACTGACACTCACCTCTTTCCTATTCCTGCAGCCTGCTCCTCAAAGAAGATGATCTGTGACAGGGGCATGGCTATGCAGCATTCCTGCAAGTGACAAGAGAAATACAGACGTCACACAAGAGAGACACACACAACATAACATATGAAAAGACAAATCTGTGAACGGCAACAACTCTCACACGATCACTGCTGTCTTACATGGTTTTTAACGTCCCTCCAGATCAACCGATGGGTGCTCAACAAGGCGACTCCAACATCAAGCTTAGCCTGGTCCAATGACAGCAGAGCACATGACATTATTATGTTAATTAATCAAACCGTCAATATCATTCAGCTAACGTTCTCTTAATAACATTGTTGCATGGGAGTTGTAGCTGCTGTATTGTTGTGTCAGGCCACAAACTTCGCTATCAGAAGACAAAACTATACCTTATCATCACCGTCATACAGTCTGACACCTCGTTGCTGGATCACTAAAGTTTCGTTTATTTCCAAGAGCCCATTAGACCATGAAAAGCAGTCCATTTTTACTATTACAAACAGACGATTATCGTTTGTTATGCTGCTCTGCCGCCGAGACCCATTTTTATGTTTACTTCCTGTACGCTGTTCAGAATTGCCCTAACTCTGCCTGCTTAAAAACACCAAAATAGAACACGAAAAATATGTATGAATTAAAATATATTTAATCGATAGTTATGTTGCCAATAAATCAAATGCTAGCATTATTGATACCACCAAACAAAATGTAATTATGTTATATCTTCATACTTTGCTGCATGGTGTCTTTTCTGACAGGCTGCCTTCTTTAGGGGTCCTTTTGGCTGTTGACGTTAACAGCGCCAGCTGTCAGGGGGAGCTAGCAAGACTGCTATATTTCGGAGCGCGTTATTTTAAAATTAGTAATGATTTATTTTCTATATCTTCCAGTCTTTATCGTAATTATCGCTAGCACTGGATTTCAACTAAACTTGAATGAATTTATGTCTAAAGAAATCCGCCTTTTCGTTGAGTTGTGCACAGAATTAAGGATTGCTGTAGCTGGCTAGCTTGTTGTTAGCTGCGGACAAATCTGGTGCAGGCAGGATTTGCACTGCAGACACAGCTTCTCTTGTTTGGAAGTCATTGTTCACGGGCGGAAAGTTGTATTTGATATAAGGACTGTAAAGACCTTTATTACGAAACTAAAGGATACGGATTTACTGCAAATATGCAATGCTTTGAATCATGCGTTTGCAGCATTATGAATTTAAATCAGTAACGTTGGATGGCAAGCATGGTATTTAGACTTTAAGTCATCCGAATGCATTTTATCTCAAATCCTCTTATCTGCTGCATTGTAAAACGTGTGTTTACCAATTGCGTGGTATAATAACTGTATTTATTGACCAAGAGGAGCACGTTTATTTAAATCAACAAACATGGATAAGAAATCATTTGATATAGTCTTGGATGAGATAAGAAAGGTAAGGAGTGTCTAATCCCAAATTGTCTGACCGATTTAAGATTTTAAATTCTCTCATTATAGGGATTTTTGGTAATTCTTCATTGTGTGTTTCAGTGTGTCCTGACAGATCAGCGGGTCAAAGCCATAGAGCAGGTGCACGGCTATTTCTCCAGTGAGCAGGTAACCGTCCAAACAGCGACACCTCCATGTATTGTTTACCTCTCGGTTATCAGTTGTAACACTGTCTTAAACATCCGCAGGTGATGGAGATACTGAAATATTTCTCATGGGCGGAGCCACAGATCAAAGCAGTTAAAGCTCTGCAGCATGTGAGTAACACGTGGTTTAAGTGATCGGCACCAAAGTTAACATTTTGCATTGCTAAATATGTTTTCTAAAAACAACATCAATTACAGTGAGGCTCCAAAAAGTTATTATTTTGTGTGTTGCCTTTAGAAAATGGTTGCAATCCCCACAACCAAAGTTGCAAATATCCTGAATTGCTTCACCTTCTCAAAGGACCGACTGATTGTCCTGGAACTAATAGCTTTGTGAGTACATTTTGAAAATGCATTTAAACAAATGATCAAATGTTGTAATATCAGCCGGTTAATTAGTTACTTTTTTAATATGGATTTTTGTTCTCATACAGGAACATTTCAGATGCTCAAAACTACCGTCCTGTGGAGGATCTGTTTCGCATACACTTGTCTGAGAAGAAGCGGGCTCGCAGGATACTGGAGCAAGTAAGTTCACCGATACAAATGTAATCTCATGGTGGTGTTTGTGTTCTAGGTAGGTTTCTGATTTTATGTCTCGGTATCAAAAGACCCTGTGGAACCCCTGTGCAATTTAAAATTAATGAAACGGTCTAAAATGATGCTTTTTAGAATGTGTTCATGCATTATCTTTGACATCCCTAAAAATGTTTCAATGCATGCTGTAAATACAAGCAAACACACTCGCAGTTTCTAAAATATATACTACACTTGTGCGTCACTAGGTATGTAAGGTTGGCTGCAAGGCTCCTGTAGCCATGATCTCCTCGTGTGGTATGATTCCAGGAAACCCGTACCCTAAAGGTAGACCCAGCCTGGTCACTGGCACATTCCCTGTAAGTATGTCCAGGGCTCTCCACTAACATCTTGTACTGGTTAGAGGAAGAACTGTAGAAGGTTAAGTTAAATCTAAAATGTTGATATTTTACTTTGAATGCTGCATACCTTTTTTTCTTAAAAAGTGTGTTGCATACAAAATGTAATTGGGCTGAAATAGCTAATAGTGATACTGAGCTCACAATATGCCTGACTTTGTAGAAATGTATTTTGTTTTTGATACACAGGGAATTCCTCCAGTAAAGAAAGAAGCAGAGAAGAAAGAGGACGCTTCTAACAATCTTGAGGGGAAAGGAATTTCTGCTCGTATCATTGGACCTTTCAAACCTGTAAGCACCAGGATGGGAATCCCACACTGGGATGATGTAACAGTACCAGGGTGCCCCAGAGAACCCTCATAACTAAGCGACGAGGCCTCACATGACTAATAACAATGCTTACACTTAATAAAAACATGGTATAAAAGCCAACGATAGACGACTGTCGGAGTAAGAAATATTTGTAAGAGCACATTAAGAAACACTCTTCACATTTTGATGTAAAGCATGGAAATCAACTTTGCACACTACTCCATTCATTTCTAAATAGTGTAAATGTCATGACTGATGAGGCTATAAAGAATGCTATTCATTAAAGATAATCATCTTGCAATATGGGGACATTTTAATAATACGACCACCATATGCTGCATAAAAATCCCTCATTTGTTGGGCTTTTCTACAGAGCAAGTAGTTTGATCTTCCTGGTTTTCCCTCGGTGTTTTAACAATGTAACATCAATGTGTAACTTGTCTTATATCGCTTTTGAAAACTTGCATTGCAGATTTACAGAGTTAGACAGAACTGGCTGATTAGTTAAGAGTGTTGAGCCTTTTCTCTTCCTTTCCTTTTCTAGTTTCCATCAACCTACAACCCTCATCGGCCCGTGCCCTACCCCATACCACCGTGCCGACCCCACGCCACCATCGCACCAAGTAAGAAATGACCCTCACACACACACACACACTCGTCCCTGCCTTCCCACGCCCTGCCCTGTAATCCAACACTGTATACACAACTTGACGATGATGGGAAAACAGATGTGTAAGATAGAAGGCTCTCAGACAATTGAGGATTTAATAATGCTGCTTTGAGTGGTTTTAGGTACAATGAGGCATGTTTTTTTTCCATCTGGTTGAGGTATAGTTAGTAGTGTGTGTGTGTGTGTGTGTGTGTGTGCGCGCATATGAATGTACGGTGGACGCTATTAATATGTGTAACTACTACTCAGGTGCGTACAACAACGCAGGCTTTGTTTCTGTGGGAGGGGTTATTACAACCAACGTGGCCCCTCCCCCCTACAACTCCACCCACAAAGTAGCAGGTATGATTCGTTGGAAG